ACAGATCCCCAGCAAAGATCACAAGGAACACAAAAGTTGTCTGACAGACCCTATGGCCAGCTTCAAGTCTCCCCACCAAATGCTGGCATAATGTATCCCGATCTTCAGGGAGAATGAACTGGATGAAGTATTCTGAAATATATCAATCCGTAATCTGACTTGTGATGCAGCCTGGACTATTGACCATGTTCGTCTGGCAAAAGGAGAATATAGGTGCTGTGTGTACATTAATGAGGAAAAAAAATTAACTTAAATGATTTTAGCAAATGGCTGCAATATAACAAAGAGTGAAAAATTTAAGGGGGTCTGAATACTTTCCGTACCCACTGTATGTGCCACTACTGCAAAATAAATCCTCCTGTCCTCAGCACAAACCTTATGTATACCAACTAGACAGTACTTAACAAGGCCACAAGAAAATAGTACCCAGAAAGAGAAATGCTGTGGGGGGCAAAGACGGTACTATTTTACAGACAAATATAAGGCTTGCTCAAATATATGGCTTCTCTGAAAAAGCCAACATTTTTTCGGTCTCCCCTCACTGTCGGATCAAGACTGCCTTTGTGAATATTGTTTTCAGTAGTTAGCATGAGGCTTTGATAAACAAGAACATAGTAGTTTCTGTGCGGCTGCGTGGTGAGGCTTTGTAAGATCTTTCATTTCCAAACTTCAAAACTTTAATCATGATTCTGAAAATTACAGTTGTGAAAATCACTCCCTCACTTAAACAGGGGGCAGAAAATAAGTAGTCTGAATACATTTTGGTTTTTCAACGTGGCTCCAATGTCTCTGGTTGTTTATTAGCATAAAACATAATAGAAAAACAGATATTACTGTATCTTGTTTATTTTGTGTTGCAATCATATAAGATATGACAACAATTTATTGAATGTTAGGAGTCTGATATTTTAGTGAGTGTTGCTGTTTCATGAATGATGAACATTTGTAGAACAGTGTGCTAGTTAAATGTGGAAAGTGTATTGCCTTGGAGCGAGTTTGATTCAATATCAGTGGGTTTACAGATAACTAGTTATCTGACTAACACAAAATCATTTATGGTTAATATCCGGTTGTATGTGTCATTGTTATAGGAATGTTATATTTAGTTCCTTGCCAATATTCAGGAAATGATTCAACCGATAGCTCCAAAGTTTCATGTTGATCTTAGAACATTTTGTTTTGAGAATGGACATTGAGCCAAACGTTATTTATGATTCCCAGTCCACCTATATCTGTTTTCATTACTTTTCACTTCTTGGCTATACTTCAAAAACTATAAAGCTGCCATTTCTCAAATGTGTAGAAAAATCACAAATGAATCTTTAATCTCATTTAAGCTCCATATTCACTGTTTTCTGATAACTCACTCACTCATCTCCATTTCTCTCTTCTTAATCCTGTTTCCCCCCATTTAGTTACAAAAGGAATGTTCAAATTCAAACTCACACCCCTCTTGAACAACAGGGAGTGCTGGTTGTGCTGCTACACCCCCTAAATTTGATGTTTCTAATCATAATTTATGTGGCGTTTTCAGATTGTTGTTCTTCAGTCCCTGCTTTGTCAACATAATTCTTATCTTTCTATAAGAATATAATTTCCCCCCTTCAAAACAATTAAAAAGTAATGAATATGCTCCAGTTTGACTCATGTTTGTAATAAAAATTGCTTGTTTCTTTCAAATCACTTCGATTTTTATACTTGAATCACCAAAATAAATGTTAGCAGCTAGCCAGTTAAAGTTGAAATATTACAGTGCTAACAAACTTTAAACGAGTTTCCCCTCTGCTTGGTGATGTAATATTTGTTGAATGTCCTTTGAGTTGAGGATCAAAAGAGCCTATACTTTTTCCTTTTACTTCCCCGACTACTACAAGATGAAAAATCAAAAGGTGAACATCAAAAAGTTACAAGTGTGAGACCCCTCAGGTATAGAATATCTGCAACTTCTGAGGTAAACAGCAAGTGACTAAGTACTTCCTGTCTGTTAGCAGAGTTGGAGTGAGTGAAGGTTGAAGAAAACATTGCAGATTTAGAAGCTGTTCCAGGTCTTTATGAACCACCTGGCAAAGGTTTTGCTCTGGCTGAGCTTCTCTTCTAGCTTTTTCATAAACGTCTTTTTACAGTTACACATTTTAAAATGACTGTTTTTTTCTGCAATCTGTCATTAAAGCTCAAAGCTCTGACAACTCTTTGGCTCTGTTCTTAAACCTAGCAAGCTGCATGCCCTACTGTCTACAAAGGAAGCTACCTTTCAATAAAGCATTCAAACTGAAATGGAACTGCATAAGTGACTAATTAGGAATGCTTTACATGCCAGGGACTTGTTTAATGATCATACGTGATCTTCACAAGAACCACAAGTAAGACCCCAACGCTTATAGTTGATTCCAGTAGTTTGCCAACAGCGGATGTTGCTAAACTAACAACACAATATGCTATTAAACACAAACTAATGCATATCGCACTCAAATATGCAAATAATGCATATCACACTCAAACTCTTTCTCACTTTCTCAGTATACAAGTTAAAGATTCAAAAGCCAAAAACAAAAGTGTTGCGTTTATAATTTTGTTCAGTGTATTTACTGCTGTTTGCCTGCAGATGTTTCTGTCCAAATACACAAATTCAGAGCTCTTGAGAAGTTTTCAGAACTAAACCTTACCATTTCATGTCGAACTGATAACTAATTTAGCTCATTCTGGGAATGTGCCTCTGTATTTCAGCTGTTGTATGTGAGAGAATGGCCTGTGTGCCCTTGAAAAGAGAACTTGCTATGCGCTCATACATTAATCCACATTCCTCACACATTACAAGTTCAAAGTGCACACTTGCTCTGCTGATCATGTTCTGAACAGGCCAGGGATTTGAGGGAGTCTTGAAAGGTTGAAGGCACAAAGGCATTGCTGAAACCCCCCAAATCGGACACCTCCTCATTCTAGACACAGAAACCAAACATTCCCTCTCACTCAATAGTGTTCAAGGCATAAAAAGGTAGGGGTCAGAGCTGTTTTGAGAAATCTAAATTAATCTGTCTTGCTTTTTTTAATTCCTTTAAAACTTTGTATTTGTCTGCAGGAACACTGGGCTCCCTCCAATTTCTAAGACTCAATTAAACACTTATCTGACATGTTTGCGCAGGCATTGTAATAGCACTTCATCAGATGAGAATGTACTGTAAGTGTGAGATGTTGACTGCTTTTGTTAACAAGTGTTTGTGTGATTTACTGTACTAAGGAAGAGGATTATTAGTATATCTAAAATATCATATAAGGAATTTACACAAATAGAAACCTGGTAGTAATAAGACCAACACAGGACCCACTAATGGTTATCAATTCACAAATATATTTCACTGTGAAATAATCACAGATAATTACAAAAAGTGGCACCACCAAAACCCCTAGAAGGCAAAAGAAAGGGTGGTTCTGTTCTCCGACCCTGATGTTAACCTCTGCAAAAATGCACATTCAAGAATTTGAGTTTATGTTTTAAAATATATGTGGACCACGGAATAAGTTCCCTGTTATTACTGTCAGAGGAAAATGCTTTTTATCCCATTCACTGCAATAAAGCTTGCATTCTCCTCTAGGGCCAACAATAACTGTTAACGTTTTGTGCAATGAGCCAGAGGCCGAGTGTGCAGTGGCACGATGACTTGGAAAGTGAACAGGGACACATTTTTGAGGAAGCACACTGTTAAGACTTGGGATCTCAGAATGGACTAAAATGCAAAATGACTTAAGTGCATTGACTGCATTTCCTGCAAAAATAATAATAATAATAATAATAAAATGAGTAAAGAGACATGCTGTGCTGTCATGAGGGATTATTTGTAAAAGGATTTAATGACCCACTGCACTACCTATTCACAATGCAAAATAAAGGAGCCACAGAGACTAACATAAAATCACATTTACACTGGAAACCAGTGTCAAGCGCACCTTCCGTCCAGTGGAATTAACAATAAGTAGTGTGAGAGGGTAAGTTTACACAGAGGATCTAAATTCTTTCCAAAGAAGCTGAGTGAAAGAGTTTGAGCCTGAGTGATTGTGGCCTGGGAATTGAGTCAGTCAGACGTGTAGCGCTACTGTAAAACAAGACATGATTGTAATAGCTACCACACTACACTGCCATGCCCTTATGCTGCTGCTAATGATTCCAATGCCTCAGTCGAGCGGTTGCAACTGTGCACGTGTTGACATACTGAAGCATTAGCCAAGACTTCTCCCTCCGGGTATAATGAGCTTGTCAATATCATACACAACACTGAGTACTTTTAGTGCTGTTCAGCTTCACACACCCAATGCGATCTCATCGAACAAGAACCAATAAAGATACGAAATACCAAACAGATTCCTTGAACATGTAATATTTACAGTGAAACATCTTCACAGTGAGCACAATCTACAAGCAGGTCAGAGGTGGCTGGTGAATGTTAAAGGGATTGTTCATCAAAAAGCTAAAAATTTGGTGATCATTTACTCACCCTCGTGACATTTCAGTCTATTATTTTCTTTCTTCTGCGGAACACAAATTCATGTATTTGAAGAATGTTTCTGTTGTACGTTTTTGTCCAAACAATGAAAGTTCAAAACTTTACATCATGACACATGCACCAATAAGGTTTGATGTTTTTGGCACATCACCATATTTGATTTGGGCTTTGTATACACAGGTTTATCAATGATTTGATGTGATTTGTAAATGAAAACCCTGTACATTTTTTGGCTTGTTCATTGTTCTAAGTGAACATATTGCTTCAGAAAATGAATTAAATTACTGGAGTTATGGATATGGATTACTTGTAGGGTTGGATTACATTTTTACACTACCTTTATGTCCATTTTAGAGCTTGAAAGTGCATTTAATTCACTGTATGAACAAAAACAGCTGAAAACCCATATGTTTGAGTTTGAGAGTAAGTAAATAATGTCAGAAATTTCTTTTTTGGGTGAACTATCTCTTTAACAGTGAGAATCACACATTCACACAGCAGCGGTCATCATTCACTGTGAAAAAAATTGCAAAAACTGTACCTTACTGATACAACAGCAAGTTACCAAGACCTTATCTACCCCTAAAAAGTGTATATTAATACCTTAGAATAATAACATGCACCCTTAAGGTACCTTTGACTATTAGGGGTAAACAAGGTACAAAGATGTCCCTCTCCACTCCACTATTAAAGCAAATAAACCATAGATTCTTTATACAAAAAGTGCACATGATAAAACCAAAATAAATTTTTTTGGAATCCTTCGGTGATAAAGAATACCAGCACGAAGCCGCTCCTCGTCGCAGCATATAATACAAGCAGTCTTCTCCTTAAGTCTCTAATTCAAGTAAAGTGCTTCTAGAGCAACAACCATATGGTTAGAGCTTTCAAGTGTTCTCTTTTGAGTTCTTGTTTGCAGTACCTCCTTTAGAAGGGTTGAAATAAAACACAAGTCCCACGGAGGAAAGCAAATTCTTAAGCCATCACACAAACTCTAGCTTGCCTTGGCCACTGTGCTTCCCCCAGCTGACCAATGAAAGAAGTCTTTGGCTGGTAAGGTCGGACTGCTGAATCTTGTCGCAGGTCAGGCAGCAGTTCTCATGGCCTCCTACTGGAACCATACACTCTAAGTCCAGTTTGGCCACATGACCCTTGGTGAGGTGTTGGCCATGAAAGTTGTAATGAAGGCGAGACAACATTTCTCTCCGTTGTTGTCGCAGTCTGCGGTTTTCACTGCGCAGCATACGCAGGGCCAGCATGATGAGGAGGACCAAGATGAGGCCGCCGGCAATGGGTACAGTGATGACCGCAGCGCGGAACCATACCTCCTTGGAGGAAGGAATTTCCTGTAGTCGTGCAATCACGTGACGGCTACCTTCGGTTTGATGTCGCCGTTTGTCTGAATAAGAACAGAGAATGTTTAGGGCCATGTTTTTATGAAGCAATTGAAGAAAAACATTGACATACACGATATTCTGTGGGACACAAAAGAAGATATTTTTAAGAATGTTTAACTGTTTTTGTCAATTCAACAAAAGTCAGTGGGGTCCAAAACAACATTGGACAAAAACGATTTTTCTAAAATAGTCATACAGATTTGTAACAACTACTCATTTAAATGAAATGTACTCTGTTTCACAACCATCAACCAATCACAGCGGGGAAGTTGTTTCTAAATCTTGCAAATTTGATGATTAAGCTCCATTTCAGATCTTGCCTCCCCATGTGCACATTATTAAAGACCAGCATGGCTGATCAATTGCTAAAACAGCAGTTGAAATGCAACTGACATTCTGAAAATTAACTTCTCGACTTCTTTTTTTTTCTTTTCTTTTAACATTTCTTAAACAATGTTTCCTTTCACATCATGTGCAAGGAAACAATGCACATATATCTCAAAATTTCCCAAAATATTTGAAAATAAAAGCTGTGAATTACTCATTGACAAGACCGTTTGTAGATAATGACAAATTGATTAATTGGTAGATTTAGAATGGTAGAATTCAATAGGTACTTCTATTAACTGGCCAAGTGGGCACAGTTAATGACTGAAATCAAAAATTGTCTGATTTATCTGTCTATCACTAGCAATGAATACTCCTTCTCATACCATGAATTTCACTTCCTCTGTATGTGACATCTTGCAGGCCTCTGTAATTGCACATATCCTCATGGCAGCACTGAAGTGTGGCAGATCCATGAATGGTGTCATAGGTTGACTCTGGGTGGCAAGTTTTTCCAGAGTTCAACAGAGGGTCGTAACATCCATGAGATAAAGGAGACTTGGCACTTTGAGGGTCTAAAGTGCGGGTGAAGCAGGCATTCAGCTCCGATTTGCACATGTAACCAGTGGCCACACAGTGGGGGGCATCGCAGTAGCACCGTATTTCTCCTGTTACAAGAAAATAGAAATTACTGGTATTAAAAGAATGAACTTCACTCCAACTGAACACTTAAAATAACTTAAAAATAGATATTAATTTTCCAACTTAAAACCTGTTTAAAGCCTAGTTCCCAAATGGATTTTCTTAAAAAAAAAAAAAAAAGAAGAAGGTCATATGATCCCACGTTTGGAATTTGGCTTTAAGACGTTTGGTTCTTAATGCTTTGACAGAACAATACAACATTTAGTATTGATATTTGTACTTACACACACCCAGCAATGCAAAACAAAAGTGCTAATAAGTGATAACAAATAATTAGGTGTTCAAAAAACCCTATACATTAGCGTTCGTGTTACATTGTTATTACTGTGTAATAATACTATGTAATTATTAATACGCTGTAGCTGTAAATACACTTCGTTGGTTTTATTACAAATGTAATTAATCGTAGTTCCACTAAATCATTAATATATCAATCTGGAGACTCTTCTGACCATATAAACAGTATTCACTCACCTTTAGTGAGGAGAACAGCCATCGCGCACAGCTCGAGCTGAAGCCAAATGGAAACGAGACTGCTGTTCCGCTGCATTGGACAAAAACACTTTCTTTGCCTCAATACGGACTTTATAGCCAGAAACACTGTATTAGTGTTCACGATGTGTTCCAACTTGCTTCGTTAACTTTTCGTAACATTTTTGGATAGAAATGATCACATCGTGGTTTAGTCCTCGCTGCTCTTCAAGACTTCCAGAAAAAAATCATCTGTGCGCAGAAAAGCCGACGTGGAGTTGTTAGAATACAATTTAAAAACCCATGTTAGACATAATCCATTTTTGTTTTAATTCGAACGCGAGATTCACAGACTTCGCAACTATTCAAAAGGATAATCTCATGTATATAGTCCGCTTGAGTGCTCTTGAATGTTGAAGACTTGAGAATGAGAGCAGCTCCTCCTATAAGAGTCATCGAGCCGCTGGGACTGTTCATTCACAGGCGTGAGTTGTGACTGTTGCCTCCCCATGTGCCCATGCACAGCTAATACAGCTTAACCCTCGTTCTGCAGAAAAAAAGCATGGCTCGACTTGTAACTTAGTGACCCCTTTATGTAAAAATACCAATTGCCAATGGTTTAATATTCTTATTTTCTCTTTATCTAACCGAAACCAACTGACCCTTAAATAGACACACGTTTAAGTTCATGAATTACTTCCAACCAGTATTAAGATATCATGTTAATTTATATTTGCAGGTAGATTTGTTTTCCAGAAGACAAAATACAATTTAACCTAGATATCCTTTTCAAAAATATCTTAATGCATCTTCTGTTACCTTCTTGAATGTAACAGCAAAAGTTGCACCTTTTGTAGTACGAGTCCATCAACTGTCTTCAGAATAAAAAAAGTTGAATCTCAAAATCATGAAGTCACTGTTGGAAGGGTTCAAATATGCAGATGATATTGTAAACCCAGTACCTGGAGGATTGTTCTTGAGAACAGTGAGCAGTTTTAACTGCTCAGGACAAACAAGAGACCCATGAACAATTATCACAAAACATAAAAAACCCCAACACATTAAGAATCACTTACATAATATTTTGAATAGGTCATTTATAATAATTATCTTAAATTCAGCTTTAATTTTGCAAGCATCTGTTGTGTTTAACGGCTTATTCAGTGCCATACTAAAATGCAATTTTTTAACCTTGTTAAAATGAGCATTTTGCAGATTCTGCAACTATATAAACTTATGGCCACAACTGTATGTATATAATACATCTAACATAACATGGTTACTACTTACAAAACAGATAAGTAGATTGTTTAATAATCCTAGGGTTCTGAAACACTGAAATGGTCAGATCCTAAGTGCACGTGAAACATTCCACAGAAAAGCTAACAAGGAAAAACATTCAAGCATGTGTTTGAGTTCTTTTAGTTCATGATTGCATGCAGCCGTCTTAAACCAACCGATACACAAAAGCAAACGTACCAAAACATGTGGTAATTGTTTATTTCCTGTAGCTTTTAGAAACCATATATAAAGCAACATAACCATCTCTATTCTGAAAGTGTACTCCATTTACAGCCTATCGCGTTAAAATTGATTCAAACCCTGCATCAGAGGGCAGTGAAGACAGAAAGAACAATGGAGCAAAACTATGAATGACATTGCAAACATCAAAGAGGAATCACCAGTTTAGCCTTTTTTCACATCCTTGTCAAATACAAACTGACAAGTTCACTAAATGCTTAGGTTTTTTTTTCTTTTCTATAGACTGGTTGATATTTCACGTAAAAGATTAGGAAAAACTTGATCTAGCTTTTAGAAACCATATATAAAGCAACATAACCATCTCTATTCTCAAAGTGTACTCCATTTACAGCCTATCGCGTTAAAATTGGTTCAAACCCTGCATCAGAGGGCAGTGAAGACAGAAAGAACAATGGAGCAAAACTATGAATGACATTGCAAACATCAAAGAGGAATCACCAGTTTAGCCTTTTTTCACATCCTTGTCAAATACAAACTGACAAGTTGACTAAATGCTTAGTTTTTTGTTTTTTTTTCCTATAGACTGGTTGATATTTTACATAAAAGATTAGGAAAAACTTGATCTGATCCTGTACGTCTCCATACTCTACCCCCAGTAGGTCGGCTTGGACAGTCCTCGTGGTCCTCTTTTGTCCATGAAGGATGCATTTGTGATGTGCAGCCACAGCTGTATAAAATATGGAGTTCTCTCATTGCATCCTCCTAATTCGGGCAATATGGGAATGACTAAACTCAATTCTACGAGTAAAGAACAACTGAGCAAATACAAACAAATCAAAGCAACATTAATACAAAAAAAAAAAGTGTCAAACAGTGCTGGGGTGCATCATGAAAAGTAATCTCTGTTAGATGTGTAACAGCACTGCAAAGAACAAGGAACATCGAAGGCAGATAGTGACGACCCCTATATCAGGGTCAGAAACTTAAAAAAATGTGCATCTACCGCTTCGGCAAAAGCTTTTAAGTGCCACGTCACCAATTCAGAAAGATCACTTTTGCGTCCTATGTAATCTTTCTGAGGGGTAGAGAATCAGCCAGTCAGGCCTATTTTTTGAGAATGAGCACTCAGAAGTATATTGGGCTTATTTTAGTTGGTCACTTTGAGAAATGCCAGTGCAGCTGGAAGCGTCCTTGTGCACAGATAGCCCTTCTGACATCATTCATAATCACTGTCAGTCACTGGAGGATAAGGGGATATTAGGTCTCCAGTGTGACAGTGAACTTTATGATCCGTTAACACAGGCGTAACCCTGAAAAACCAGCACATGAATCACCAGATCCACTGCATGATGACTCAAAGGTTAGTCTGTGTTGGAGAGCGCTCTCTGAATATCTCGCTCTAATGGCCTGTGGATCTGAGAATAGAGAAGCGATGTACGTCAAAGGACTGTGAAATTAATCTACGATCTCAGGGCCTTGTGTTGCCTTGATAAGCACTTTTGGAAGCTTCCTTTCTCTCTGTCCCATTTCAGGCATTGCAGCCTACAGTTCGACTGCGAATCTGAGAGCTCGGGCTGAGAGCAGGGGTCCAAACAACCAGGGGCTGGACATGTTTGGAGAGAGACTGCCATGAGCTCCACAGCCATCTCTCAAACCATGAAGGAATTCTGATTTTTCAGTTTGTCAAGTTCTTTGATCTGCTGTCTCAGAAACAGAATCCTGTGTGAAAAGAAGAAAAAAGATTCATATAAAGTCATTTCATTATGTATATTTGATCATTCTATTCAAATCAGGGTTACAGACCTTTGCTCTCTCAATGTGGCCTGGATTTCACATACTCGCACTAAAGAGCGAAGGTTCTTAAGTTCGGTGCAGATCTCTGACATGTAGAGGGTTCCCATGTTGTGGATATCCTCACTTAACCGTGACACCTGGGTGACAGGAATTTAAGATGAAGAGGAAGAGAAATTCAATAGCTGGAGAACTGATATCTGATCTTTAGGGGCCAGTTGTTATCTGGATCAGAATGATCTGGATTTGGAAATCTCAGGTTTTGCTATCCAGGATCAGGTAATCTATCTTTTCTGCTGGTTTTTAAAAGCAAAATTGAATTGACCACAATGATCCAGATACACACTTTTTCATATTACCAAATCTGGATTACTAGTGCTCTACGAAGCCCCTAAAGGGACATGATGTAAAGAAATAAATAAATAATAATAATAATAATAATCTATCTATCTATCTATCTATCTATCTATGTGTGTGTGTTCTAGGGGTTGTACCGACTAATCGACTTCAATGCTCTACCATGATGCTTTAAGCTTGCAGGTTTTGCTATCCAGGATCAGGTAATCTATCTTTTCTGCTGGTTTAAGCAAGCAAAATTGGATTGACCACAATGATCCAGATACACACTTTTTCATATTACCAAATCTGGATTACTAGTGCTCTACGAAGCCCCTAAAGGGACATGATGTAAAGAAATAAATAAATAATAATAATAATCTATCTATCTATCTATCTATCTATCTATCTATCTATCTATCTATCTATCTATCTATGTGTGTGTGTTCTAGGGGTTGTACCGACTAATCGACTTCAATGCTCTACCATGATGCTTTAAGCTTGACGTCAACTAGTCGCTGGTCCTATAGAGGGGGCAACAGGATAAGAAATCTTTGAAGAACTTCCACATTTACGCTCCGTTTCCAAACAGTTAAAATGACAAATAAATGCATACTCTGAAAGCGCTCCACAAGACATGTGTGATTATATTACTGGATGCTCGAAATAGAACAAGATAATACACGTTTTAAACAGCTTATTGTACAGGTAAGTTAATCGCCGTTCTAATCTAATTCGCTGCTGCACTGTAACGCACGCATATTACAGACAGTAGCTCGTACATTACGCGCAGATCGCGAGCACACAGAATCATTCAGTGCGGAAATGTACTGTCAACACTGTTCTGTGATTTCTCAATAAAATATCTTAGAAACTGAAACGTTCCAAGCATATATTTCTTAATAACTAAATCCCACAGCTTCACTACTAGTAGAGAGATGCTGCCAGGTAGAATTAATTCACACACGCAATCGCTCTCAATGCATTCATATGAATGTAATCTTTACTGTGCTACTTTATCTGTAAAATGTCAGTAATCACAGTAAAATGTATCTTTATCTGTATCTACTTTATCTGTATCTGATTTAGAACGAGCAGAAATCTCATATCATCTGAAAGCTGAATAAATAAGCTTTCCATTGATGTATGCAGGGGTTAAAGCAAAAAAAAAACCTGAGCCTGAACTTTTTTTCCGGGGGTTGGGGGTGTGGACACTTTTTAAAACGACAGGTAAATTTGTCTTAAATGTAGGAGGACTATCTTATTTTCCCGCAGCTAAACGCCACACACAGGAGATCCGGCACGGTGCCGGAGAACTTTAAGCCCCGTGTATGGTTAATTACTTAGGATAGGACAATATTTGCTAAAAACTATTTGAAATATCTGGAATCTGAGGGTACAAAAAAAAAATCAAAATATTGAGAAAATCGCCTTTAAAGTTGTCCAATTGAAGTTCTTATCAATGCATATTGCTAATCAAAATTTACGTTTTGATATATTTACGGTAGGAAATTTACGAAATATCTTCATGGGACATGATCTTTACTTAATATCCTAATGATTTATGGCATAAAAGAAAAATCAATCAAAATAGAATGTATTGTTGGCTATTGCTACACATATACCCGTGCTACTTATGACTGGTTTGGTGCTCCAGGGTCACATTTCATTTACATAAATAACTACTTCTGACTGGTTCATCTTTGATGATTGTGCCAATGTAGTTTACAAACAGTGATTAAAAAATAAATAAATAAAACACTTTAAATTAGATAACTTTTTTGTTTGATATTGACAGCTGTTTGGGGCTTTTGGGGATATATTACATGTTACAAATGTTGCATTTTTGGACCAGTTTTAAAGTTTTATTATATTTTTGTTCCTGAAATCCACCCTTCTGGTGGGATCAGTATAATCCTGATTTTTTTGGATCAAACGTACCCCCCAATCTCACTATAAAGTTTTGAATAACACAAACTGGTTATTTGATCCAGATTTCTGTTGAACAACCAATCTTCAAGATTTGATACAATCCGATCGTCGAAATCCGATCAGATTACTTTTGAACAACTGGCCCTAGAAGATCAATGAACATGCTCGTACCTGCTTCTCCACATGTTCTGCAGGCCAGCCTTGAACATGCTTGATGAGATTTTCATCAAAGTGCAATGCTAGAGAAGGAGTGAAAGTGCTTTGGGTTCGAGAGGTGCTGCCTGAGGCGGGAATGCTGATGCCCGCACTGCCATTAGAGCCCGACAAGCCCTCTTGACTGCTATAAAATTAAATTAAAATTAAATGCATAAATAAATAGAATTTTAAAATTACAACCATTTAAATAGATACGTTTTGTATACTACTACTACTAATAATAATACTACTAACAAGTGTATGCTTATAATAATAAACATGTATTAAAGTGAAAGTCTACCCAACAATGCAATTTCTGTCACCATATACTCACCCTCATTTATAAAAAAAAATTATAATCAAAGTCAAAGGAAACCAAAATCGATATCAGCAATTATCCACAATGTATGTGTTTGGTTGCATTTCAACACTGAACAGGTAGATGGTGCTGTAGGACGACATTTGATAGGCTGTTCCAACATTACCAACAGCCAAAAGACAAGTTCCTACTGAGAGATTCGTACATTTGCCTGTGAAGACGGGGATCACTGAATTCCAGAGGTTTGTCAGAGCTGACAGACTGCTGGGAAGTTGATCCTTGTCTTTGAATTGATGCGCTGACCTGAAATTGAAGAACAACAGCTTGAATATGACCAGAAATGGTCAGCAGTACAACTTTCTAAAATGTGTTGAGACGTAAAACATACACAGTGGTCCCAAAAAGTATTTAGACACTTGCGCAACACTTAAATGTGTGAATAGCAAACCAATATGACATATATACTGTACATACGTGTTTCTTGAACTTTTGAGCCCTTTTTCTAAACACCAACATTTTGAATCTTAATCTACACAAATCCATTATAAAAACAGAGAAATTATTCAATTTAGTTTGCACTACGAGTCGAGTCTACTTATTGAAAGTCAGAGCCAGTCGACATATTTTGGGTAGTTGTGTTTACAAATTAGCTTCAGACTATAATTCCATCAAATCAGAGGATAATCAAACATGTTTGATATTTTCAGCTGATTTTAGAACATTTATTTTCTTTGGTTATGTGTCTCCTAGCAACAATGTGCATGTCACTTTGTGAGTTTGCTGTGCTTGTTGTAACCTTTTACAAAGGTTGATGCCTAGTGTTTTGACATTTGTTCAGATTTTAGAAGTCATGTAGAGATTCTAGCCTTGATGTGAACAGATTTTTACTAAAGAACAACAAACCTTTTTTTTTTTTTTTTACCAAATTACTTTGGGACCAGCTGGTTGAGAGTAACTACAAAAAATGACTAAGAAAACAAGTCAGCAAGCTGTAGCATCATCTGTTTACATATGTCACAGGGATTGATATTTTGTTATCTAATGCAATGACATGTCCAAACACTTTGAGGCCACCATAACAGAGAAGTTTAGGCAATGACAAACCACTAGTTGCTACTGACCTTTGGTTGCGAAGAAAGAGATGCAGAGCTGAGCAGGGGTTTAGAGACAGCATTGGTCTGAGGTGTGCTGACTCTGGGAGACACGTATGACCTCGGTGAAGAGGCATCTGATGCTAATGACATGGGTGACTGACCGGACTGTTGAGCTGTTCATTAGAAACAGAGTTATAGAAATGATATATGGAATCTGGTAAATAAATGTATTTATAACAATATACCAAATGTACTAAATCCGACTTAAATTACTACTAAATTAACATTATTTGAAAAAAATAAAAAATCTCATTCTTCACCGAAGTCTCAGTTTTCCAGTAAAGTTGTAGCTTAACCTATTAAGAATTATTCAAGATGGTTTGGGTCCATAGTCTTAGGTGTATATAAACAGTAAACATACCTAAAACATTGGTCTAACAAAGTATTGTAATATATGGTTGCATAGTTCCTTAACAAAATGTGGATTAGTTGCTCTGGAGCACAACATCTGAGCATAGGCCAATGGTTTTTCTGTTTGGCCAATGTGTCTTAAGTGGTGCATTTATGTATCCCTATATTTAACAATTTCTTTGGGAAAAAAAAAAAAAAAACTGTTACAGAATTACAGAATCAAGAAGGTTTTTTTTCTAAAGTATAATTCTGATGATTTTACAGAATTTGTAATTAAATAATTAATTTTCAAATTATTTATTAATAATTTTGTAAACATGGAAAAAAATATTTTAATCAATTGTTATGCATGTGTTTTTAATATCATTAAAGGGGTCATATGATGTTTTTTTAAAGATCATTATTTTGTGTATTTGGTGTAACAGAATATGTTGACATGCTTTAATGTTCAAAAAACACATTATTTTTCAAATACTGTACATTATTGTAGGTCATCTCTTTGGTTTTGAGACTTTAGTCTTTGCAACTTCAGGGATCTTATCTATGCACAATCAGCTTGTAACACTCCAAAGAGAAAGGAAAACTTGAAATCGCATCATATGACCCCTTTAAATTAAATAGCATGGTATGTGTACCTGCTTAATATCGGCCACCCTGGTCTCTAAGATAACTGCAATTTAAAGGGGAAAAACAATACTGGATGAACACTAATCTAGGGAGCATCTCTGATCAAAAGCAGAACATACTCTTCCCTCCCTAGAACAACAGATCGTCAGCTGTCTACTGAATAGGGTAGAGTAATACTGATTTTCCTTTAAAACGGTAGTCTTTATTTGAGCAAATACTGATTCTCAAAATCCCAAGATTGATCTTTTACCATACACACATTAATATACCCAATTGGAAAAGATCAAACTGAATTGAAACATGAATTGAATGGAACAGGGAGCTAGTGAATAAGAACGGAATTTGAAAAAAATCTGTACCCAGCCCTACCTCTATATAATTTATGCTCGAATCACATGTGATCAATAGGAAATGAAAACAGAAAAATGACAGGTTAAGCAGCGTGAAAAGTTACAAGACTGGAGAAAAACTAACAAGATCTGACCTCTTGACTTTAAAGAAATGCACAAAGAAAAGTTTATTTTAAGAGGAGCAAGAATGACTAGGGTGATTTTGTAGGAGAGTGCATCTGCATAGAAACTAATAATAACAATAAATAAAAAGCACATGTGGTATTCCCAAATGTACATTGTAAGTGACTTATAATCTATATATTCTAATTGTTTGACCACTATTGCAACAAAAAAAAAAGTTTTTAATCCACTTTAAAGTCCAAGTAAACATTAATGCAATTTACTACATTTATTCAATTTGGACACTGAAAATGGGTTGGAGCTCTTAATTCTGAACTCTTAAAGGGCACCAGATTGATGCATTTAACTTTTAAATGTACCGACTATACGGTCTACCCACCATAATCTCACAAAATCCTATGGGAAACACTGCGCAGCCATTACCTTCATTAATTTTGCCCATGTCTACATTGCCGTGGTTCATCTGCAGGGTGGCCTGGAGCGCAGGCAGCAGCTGTCCGAGGAGTGCTGGGTCCTGAAGCAGAGTGGAGGTTGAAGCTTGCAGGGCAGGAGACACAGGCACTTTGGAGGACGAGGAGGAGCTGGGCGTGCTGGAGGGGTTTATGGACAAAGGCTGAGAATAACCAGAGTTTGACAATGGCTTCTCCGCTAAAGTAGATTCTGGGAGAATGAAAGGGATTGTGGAAAAAGACAAGACAAATGTGTTAAGAACCACTGAAACACAACACATCAGCAAAGTGAACTTCTACCAACTTAGAAATATATTTCTGCTACTTACTTGAACTACTGAGGGCACTTGTGGCACTGGCCTGCATCGCCTCTTGTCTGTAGTCTCTGTCTTTGGGAAAGCTGTTAACCATAGTCTTGGCACCTTCTCTCTGCCTTTGTTCTCTGTTCAGACAGGAAGTCTGGTGTAAGTGCATGGTTTGAAGAAGAGAGGCAGTTACAGGGGATATAAAGCAACTCACCTCTCCAACCATTCTTTAGGTTTCTCCCACTGAGAGACCTCTGTCCTACAGTTATAATAGTATTTCTTGCCAGACGAACTGATATGCTCTGACCAATCATCTGCTGGCTCGCGGGGCTGGAAGAGACAGGAAATATGTAGGCACATCAAGAAACAAAGAGCAGGGAAATTTGTCATATGAGAGGCCATTAGGGATAGGGATGAGTCAGGATGATTTATTAGTGTGTGTGCTACTTTTTTTTTTTTTATCAACAGTCCTTTAAATATCCCAGTATAGTCAATTCAACCTTACAGTTGGATCTCACCGTTTACCAAGTTTTGAGAAATATTTGTTTGTAAATTTTTTGAATACCCCTTATTTTATTTACAGAACTCTGAATTATGAACTATGAATAAATATATTGATGTAATTCTCAAAAGAAAGTAAAATATATACCACAGCAACATTTTATTAACATTTTTGAAATCAGAAGAGACGGTATCTCACGAAACCTCATTTGGATGCACAGAGATTTTCCAACAAAAATAGGGCTGCAAAAGTTAATCGATAAAAACGGTAATAATCGTTAATGAAAATTATCAACACGCGCTGTTCACAGAAAACATCCACCAGTCACATCACTTTACGGTAGTAAATAACATGTTTCCAAAAAATAAAACAAATCTGAAATATGGCTGAGGACACAGAGTAAGCTGCGGAAAGAAAAGTGCACAATCCAAGTTATCCTAAATATGGGAATGAGTATATCTTACACTGTCAGATATACTCTATTGTCTCAAATATTTTTTGCAATAAAACTATCATAAGAGAGAGCGAGTCTGCAATACCCAGAAGAGTGGTATGTTATTCCACGCTGCTAATCACAACGATTGTTATCAGGGAATAAGACACCTCAAAATGTCGCGAAATGCTAGTTCTTCAGACTTCTTCACTAACTAATCAACTTACCATCTCTGAAGTTCTGTTTGGATGAGGGTGAGAACTGGATGCATGATGGGAGTTTTCTTGTGGAGAAGAACTGACACCTGAAACATAATTAAGAAGATCAGAAACAAACCACCAAGCATGTGAAAACCTGAAGACTTTTGCAGAACATAATTCACTGAAACAAGACAGTATTCTGGGCTTCCATTTAACACGCTGGACAGCTAGTTTATAGGGTTGAGCTGACAGTCCTGTGACTGAGCGGTGGAAACATGGCCTCATGACAGGATGAGATGCTGTTTCCACTGACGTCCAAATTGTGTGACCCTACATACAACTTTTTAGGCTTGTGTTTTTTTACATTTTTGTCCAGTTGAGAAAAAAAATTCTTACATTAATATTTTCAAGCCAAATTAAAATTTCAGCCTACACCGAGACTGAAAATACACCAGAGATCTGAAAATAAGTAAATTAAAAGTAAGGTCTAAACATGTGCAACACAACCTATCAGAGAAAAGACCGATGCTAAGAGGCCTCTGACGAGTTGAACCTGCTGCAGCCTCATGGCTGTGGTAATAACAGGAAGTAAGACAGCATGAAGGAAGCACAAGAGAGTATCCTGTGTTTTAATGCTGCTTGATTTACTAAAATCTAGCAATTAAATCTGTTCCATAAAACATGTAAAGACTATTATCAATATCAGTCAATTTGATTATAGATGGATTTTAGCCTTAGCCTACTATACAACTTCCAAATGGTGTTTTGGTTTATAACATGTCCATTTTCAAGAGTAATTACATTAATTACACAGAATTCTAAAATGCAAGACGGCAAACTAGAGATTCATGAAACAATGTATTATGTCAGTTATCAGCAGATTTAATTATATCATGTATTGCATGTTAACATGGTTACGCAAAAAGTAGCAAATCTCTAAATGAATCTCCATTTCACATATTGTTTTAGATAACACTACTACTAAAAAACCTAAATTGACTTGTAGTATTTAAAATTATAAATTGTAGTTTTTACTATTTTTTAATTTAGACAAAACACCTTAGAATATAATTAACATTATAATAATATTAATATCAATAGCAGGATAAAATCAGGCAGAATGTTGCTATTTTAATATTGATGTAACCCTAGTAATAAATGAAATAAACCAATATTAAAACACAGACCTGTAAACCAAACCATACCAACTAAACGCATAAAATGCATAAAGCATCAATACAAACAGTTCTATCAAACTCAGAATCACTTGTTACAGTTCTAGATTGTGCCAAATCTAATTTTAGCGTCATCAGAAATGCAGGTTCACTGCAATACAATTAATAACAGTTATACTGTAACAACAGTGCTGGGATGACTTCTCACATTGTTTATTATCACCTACAGTAATTTAAGTTACTAATAATGCCTAAACAAAAGCATAAGCTAAATATAGTTTAAAAAAAGAAGTATAAAACACATAAAAAGCGCCAAGTTGTGAAATGTTCCTGCCGGTGGGTGCTGTTTACAGTCTCATAATATCACTTATTGGTATCTGCCTCAAAACCCCTGGTCAGTCCACTCTTAATTATAATGCCCTGCTTAACCACAACTAAATATATATTTATATAATATCATGTATAATTATTTACCACTGTGAATAATGTTTCCCCATATAGCCCACTTAAAATAGGATTTTGGGGTTCTGAGGTATTAGGGACCATATCATACAAGTATAAAACATTAACCATATGCACGTGGAACCTCTCCTCACTCATGTCCTTACCGCTGTCCCTCTCACGGGTCCGGTGAACGTGGAGTGCTTTCGTTTGGCTGTGCCCTGTTCCGTCACTGTGCTTGTTGTCTGGACTGTCTGATCGCCGCAGCATTTTAGTTGGTGGTGTGGAGTCTGACGAATCTCGCATCTTGTCATGGCGATGGTCATTTGACGAGTGACTCTTTGACTGATATTTGACAGACTGCAAAATACAATGCATGAGAGAAGGACTGCAAAGGCCACTGAGCTTGAACTTCTATTCTGGCAGAGAAAAGCAGGCTCAAATAAATGGAATATTATGAAATCACTAAATGTAATTTTCTAAGTTACTGTACTACAAATGACATGAAAGAACACCTGGTGCTTTTGAAAAAAAATACAAATAGGATGTTTATTAAAACTAGATAGGGAGCTAGTTGATCTGCACTCTTGTCGGTGTTTGTTAAGCTCATCAAGTCACTATAAAACGTAATACTAGATCTGATAAGGCCTAACAGTAAATGAGAACGATGTGCTATTACAGTTTCTATTTGTTGTGAATCCCGTAATTACGATAGCTAACTACAAAACAAGCTTGCACGCTGAGACGTGAGCTCTTCTAGTCACACCATTACCTCTGTATAAGCTACTATTTTAGTTGAACTGTAGAACAATTTGCCAAAAACAAATAATTGACCTCTATTACCTACAAAGTATGACGCGATATGTATATCGTAGTTTCAGTTAGCAAGCAGGAACTAGGCCTGTGAGCACTAGTGTTATGCTAAAACTGGCTAATCCAATGTTGACACTATTTTGGCTTCTCTCCCAAATATGTGTCTACTTTCAACGATAAAATACTTCTCTGTGTACCTGGTAGGCTTGAGGATCTCTTCGATCATTACACCTGTGAAAGACAAAAAAGTTAATATAGTCAGAAACGCGCTCTCTGCTAGCCAGCTACAATGCTAACGTAGAGAAATGAAAACAACTCGCTGTTAGAGAAAAAAAAACTACTTTGAAAGAATTTCTTCGAACATAATATGCACTTAGTTTAGGCTTTAAGCGATTAGTTGACGGGTGTAAACTGGAGGTAAATGTGTGATTACCCATCATTGAGTCTGGATGGATTCGTTGCATGCATTACCATTAATGCTGCAGTGATGTGGAAGTGAAGTGTTACTACTGAAGCAGTTCTGCTGCACTACAGCTCTCTTTAGCGGTACTGCCTGCAAACACACACTACAATATCTGTAAAAGTAGCTCTGCTGCAGTGCTGCTTCGCTATTCGGGAAAGAGCTGACGGTCCATCGCTTCGTTTTGCTCGCGACTGCGCCCCGCGAGTGCACGTCACGAGCAGAGACCAGTGCTCGCGATCAGCGCGCGACGTGCACGAGCAGACGACTGCAACCTGCGCTCGTGCACCTTTTTCCTTTGCTACTCACGCTCAGTAGCATTTGAGGTTTAAATGTAACTTGTTTTTAACTTAAGCTACAAGATATTAAATACATTTATAGAAGTACAAATCCTATTAAAAGTAACGTTCAGCTGATCTCTGTGTACAGTATTTCAGTTTCTCCATAGATGGGCTAGAAGGTTCAATAGTGTAAGGATAGAGTGTATATGCACAATGTGTATACAGTGTATACGAAATGTAGTTTGGGACTTCATAATGAAAGTAAATTCGACTGGGGTACGCTCTTCTGATACAACAGGGCTAAAAAGGAGCATAAAGGCGCAGTTGATAGTATTATCCTTTAAACCACTAGATGGCACCAAACCACATCTTTTCTAAATATCTGTGGCTGACTGGTCTTTGACGCGATCGCGGGCATCGGCGCAATGTTGATTGTTCGTTTGAGTTTGGTGGCTCAGGATTTCTGTTAACGTGTGACTTTAATATTTCTAAACTCGCTCCTAAATTGTCCAAATTCCACCAGCAAGCTCTATTAGCTTGGAAAATTTGCTACTCGCACAATTTGTTTTTTTGTTTGTTTTTTTTTTTATGTAAAATTGTCCAAAACTTTTGGATGGAATTAGCTGAATTTATTTTTAATTTAGTAAAGGTTAATTACTTTTTACATTAAAGGACATTATTGTTTATTATGAAAACAAAATGAACAAAGGATGAATAAATTGTTCATTTATTTATATTGCTGGCAAAAAAAAAATTACATAAGCAAAAATGTTTAAATTCTTCAATTGTTTATCTTGTTTATTGTTGAATTTGATCGTTTTATGTCTTCTTTGAAATTGTTGTTGTTGTTGTTTTTAAAGGCATTGACATGTTTAAAATGGGGCCTATTATGATAGTATTTTTGGATCCCCTGTTACTACTTAGGCTATTATTTTATGCTATGCTTTTTCAATAACTGAAGAATATTTAAATACTCTGAAGAATATAATAACTGAGATATCTGGAGTAAAAAGCACACCTATTGTTGGTGCTAAATGAACCAGTAATTGACGTGATAAAAAAAGTAGCGTAGCTGACTATTCCGTTTGTTGACAGTAAATGTTTAGAATCAAATAGTCAATATCATTTATTACGTTGGGTATCCACCTTGGAGATACTCACAATATTTCTAATCAATTTGAAAATATTATGTTTATCATATGATGTTACAAAAAAAAAATAATATTTATTGTTGGTATAAAATGATTATTAGACCCCCTTCAAGCAGTGTAAGTTGTTTATTATTATTATTATTATTATCAGTGTTGGGGGTAATGCATTACAAGTAACGCAAGTTACGTAATCAGATTACTTTTTTTAAGTAACTAGTAACGTAACGCATTACTTTCCATAAAAAGTAACTAAGTAACGTAATTAGTTACTTCTTTAGAGAGTAACGCAATATTGTAATGCATTACTTTTAAGAGTAACTTTCCCCAACACTGATTATTATACAAATGTTATCATTATAAAAATGTATTTATTATTTTATTTTATTTATTATATTATTTTATCTACCAAAATAAACAGAAAATGTTACAGACTTTGCTGGAGTGATTGTTTTAAACAAGTATTGACTGAGATATTTTACTAAATATATTATTTTAGCTATTTATCAATACTATGTTGTCTATTATTTTATCTACTCTTTTATCTTGAAATAAGAGGCCCCCCTCACCACATTTAGATACATTTATATGTTTTTAAACAAAACATGCTTTTATGATTTATTTTCCACACAAAAGTTGCTCCATCAATGTTGAATAAAAATATCTTTTTTTTCCCCCTGCAATCATACAGTGTGGGAGCACTGAAAAGCATATCCCTGTAGCCCCATTGTATACATTTTGAAGATGTGCAATGATTGTTTTATAAGAAATTACCTAAAATCTAAATTCTACCCAAATTATCTTAAATAAATAAATATAGCGTGTTTAAGCATTGCATGATATTTTCAGTTGGTGACTTATCAACATAATTAAGCATATCCCTGTAGCCCCATTGTATACATTTTGAAGATGTGCAATGATTGTTTTATAAGAAATTACCTAAAATCTAAATTCTACCCAAATTATCTTAAATAAATAAATATAGCGTGTTTAAGCATTGCATGAGCATTGTTAAGCTAATATTTATACTAATATTAGTTTACATAAGTAAAAAAAAAATATTGTTATTGTTAGTTTATTTGTTAAATTTCATTAGTTGTAAACTAGTCCAGCACAAGAGAGACATCTCTGGTGTCCTTTGATTTCTTCTATAACTGGACTGCAAGGGGCTACAAAGCCATTTTATCAACTATTTACTTAAAATAGTCAGTAGTCAGTTAGGTCAGTAAATAAATGTAGTTGATTTTTAATGTGTCTGTTTCACTGTTGCAGAAGGCTGAGGTTTATTTGTGTTATATTGGAGCTAAAGAGGTCAAATGCTGTGCTGCTTTATTGAGTGTGTCTGCTTGTCTGTTCTATTTAGGTCATTATTGATGATGATCAATCTGCCTGATAGTTTGTGAGTGAGCCTCTGTCACACTTCATGCAGAGTTTAGAAGTGAACTACCAGACAAGACCATTACTGGAACCTCATTCTGCAGGCCAGGTAAGCTGTAGAATAACAAAGTTTGATTTCTGATACAAATAAGAGTTTCGTGTCAGACATAGCCCCCCTTTTTAATGTTTATAGGGTCTTGTGAGAGATGCTTGAATAATAATAAGTTATCCTACTATAAATGCAGACCACGTACTAGTTAAGTTTTATCATACAAGTTGGGTCACACTGACCAATACCAAGTGAACCAATTTGTATTGATACAACAAAAAGAAGAGTGTGCTATTGCAGTTTGACCATACTGACAGTTAGTGATTTGGTATATATGAATGATATATTATATATGAATGATTTCACAAAACAAACTGTTTATATGAGCAGACGTAAATAATAACATTACATTACAATACAACTTTTTTGAGACAGGAAATGCAAAATAATTAATTTTAGTTTAAAAATTATATTTACAGCAAAGGAACAATCTGCAATCTTCCAATTATAATATAATAGTTTATTGTTCATAAGTTTTTAAAAGACGTCTCTTATGCTCACCAAGGCTGCATTTATTTGATCAAAAATACAGCAAAAAATAGTGAAATATAATGTGATATATATATATATATATATCTTCTTTAAAAGTATATTTTAAAATGTAATTTATTCCTATATGATGGCAAAGCTGAATTTTCAGCAGCCATTATTCCAGTGTCACATGATCCTTCAGATATTATTTTAATATGCTTATTTGGTGCCCACAAAACATTTCTTATTTTTATTTATCAATGCTGAAAACAGTGATGCTTAATATCTTTCTGGATTTTATTTTTCATAATTCTGCGATGAAGAGAAAGTTCACAAGAACAGTGATTATTTGAATTTTTTTTTTTTCTTTGTAACGTGCCTTTATCGTTACTTTTGATCAACATAATGCATCCTTCTTGCTAAATGAAAGTATTAATTTCTCAAGAACAGTGATTATTTGAATTTTTTTTTTTTCTTTGTAACGTGTCTTTATCGTTACTTTTGATCAACATAATGCATCCTTCTTGCTAAATGAAAGTATTAATTTCTTTTAAAAAATTCTTGACCTCAAATAGTAGTATATATGACAATGAAATAATACCAATATCAATATTTTGCATTGAATATTAATTAATTATTCTTTATTTTTTTCTTCATGAGCAGGGCCTTTATCTGTTGTCTTTCTGTATATCATCATGATAAACCCATCATCTGGACCAGGAGGTGAGCAGGATGTTTAAGGGTCATGAATGCAGTTTGGTACTTGTGTATACTTTGGCTGCAGGCTTGAGTCTGTGGAATGTGGTTACTCTACGGCATTATTTCAGAGGTTTTATGAAAGGTTTGTGGTGTCAGTTTGTATTTTGTGTCTCATTTGAAAGCTCTCAGTTTCAAGTCTGGTGCACCTCTCCTAAAATGTAGGTTAATAATAAGGTAAGTAAAAAGCAGTTATATCTGGATCTGCGTTTAAGCATTCCATTTTAGTTTCACTATAGAGGGCGAGAGTTGCAAACCTTAATTTATTGCCAGTAGAGGGCAATATGTGAATGAGACAAATCATTAATGTCCTACATTTACATGTCACTTAAATGAAAGCAAATGTACAGTATAAGAATAGAAATTAATAATTCAGGGTATATTAGAGACTATTAGAATGTTTATCATATTCCTCTCGTCTTTAGGTGTGTGTAGGTTGCTGGCCTCTTTGCTTTATGGGCTGGAGTCTCATATGGACACCTCAGAGGACAGCACTTTTCTACAGGACATGCTCATGGGCAATACTCTGCATCTGCTTATTAAGGTCAGACTTTTTATTTTAGCAGCATCCAGTATATGAGTGTTGTTAGCCCACTTTAGTGACTGCTGTTTGCCAGGGCTATGACTTGAATTGGGTGAAATTATTTAGATCAAGTTGCTGGCTTGACCATAAGAAGGGGCACCTGCACATTTACACAATCACTCTTCATTCATTCATTCATTCATTCATTCTGTGACTCACTGACTCATTCATACACTCACTGTCTTGATCAGTCACTCACTCACCCATACATTCATTCATTTATTCACCCAATCACAAATGTTTGCATTCACTGACTTCACGCTGGAATACACTACATGATTTTGAAGATTTTTGCCCTGGTTTGCACCTTGGATGAGTCAAAGCTAGTTGCAGAAAGTCAAAGTCATTTTGCAGATTATGAGCAGTTAGAGTTGACAGATTTCTTGGAAAACTGTGTAGTGCATGATGGACACAAAATCTGATTGTTTAGCTTCAGACTGGAATTCCATCGAGTCATCACTCTTAAAAGAAATGGTTCTAAATGGTACCAGATTAGGGTTCTTTGGCTTGTAACAATATTAGAACACTTTTTGGTGTTAAACAGAACCCTTTTTATAAGGTTTGATAAAGAATCATGCTTTGAAAGTGCTATAGGACCTTAAAAGTGTCATAAATAAGTATTTAAATTTATTATAAATAAATGATAATTTAATAATATTTTTAACCCTGTATCTGGTCTTATAATAAATTGTAGCCTCAATTAGTGTTTTGCTAAAGAAAAAAAAGGCAAAATAGATGCAATGAAAATGATGCAATCAAATTCCATTAATATCCAGTCAAGTTCCATTCTATAATGCCTTTAAGTCCATCATGTGTTTATTTTGAGTGGCAGTTTCTTTCTGCAGATGATGAGGTTGAGGGATGTAACAGCATCTAGGTCAAAATACACAAATAGTTTAGAGATACAAAGTGTTTCTTCCAGTAGTTTGAAAAGATTTACTGTATGTTTTTGAAGGCCCAAAGCAGAGTGAGCCCTTCACAATGTTAAATGGAAAAAGTGACAAAGTCATGGGATAGCTTTAATGTTTTGTTGTTCTTCTTGTTGTTTGTTTGTTTGTTTGTTTGTTTGTTTGTTTGTTTTTTGGTGACTGGGAAACTTTTTCAAATTTCAATTCCTTCCTTCATTCATTGAGTGAATTACTCACTTCAATCACTCATTTCAATCACACATTTGTTCAGTCATTCACTTCCTAACCCTCTGGTATTCCTCACTTACATGGGGTTGTGTATTCCCTAGTTGCTTCTGAGAGTATTTTCAGACATATTAATGATTTTTATTAGATTTTACATTTGGATATACTGTATATTTAGACATAAATTTTTTTTTTTTTAACTGTGGGTGATTTGTGCATTGTAACAACAACAAAAAAATTTTGACTATGAAGATTACAAGTGTGACAATTTGTTAACGACCATATAGCAGTTATTTGTCATGTCCACTTTTTTATTAGATATCATAGGTGCCACAAAAGTCACCAAGTTTCATACCATTCTGAGGGTACATGCAAACATACAGTTTTTCGGTTTAAAATGACCAGAGACCACCAGAGGGTTAATCATTAACTCATTGACTCACTCTGTTTTAATTATGTGCGTCGGGCACACTTTAGAATGAAATCTTTTGAAAGCTGAGTTCTCCAAACACTGCAGCAAGTGCACACCCAGCATCATCATTTGCTGGCAGACGGGTCTAATGAATCCAGCACATGCTGTCTGCGACACGGAGAGAGGGGGAGGCGAGGAGAAAGGGAGGAGAGGTTGAAGGGGAAGGGGAAGGGGAGACTGTGATAAAAACCCAAATACAGCTCAGCTGGACTGTTGGGTGCTCTGTTTCATTAGTCACATGGATCTGTGAGGTGTTCAGTGCTCCTGCTGGATGTTTCTCTTTGAATGCTAAGAAAGGATCATATTTTCCAATCAATCTGACTTTTCACTTTCCTTAGAAACAACATAACTGCTCAAAAATAGTTTGAACGCTATTTCTATCATTGATACAAAAATACTTCAAATGCTTGCCAGAAACAATATTATATAACATAATAATGAATACCTACAGTACATTAAATACCAGTAGCATTTATGGCTTTTACTTCATGATATATTGTAAAACACAATGCACATGCAAACACATGTGCAGATAAAATAAAACACATCCATGAAGTTCATGAAGACAAAACATCCATGAAGATTTTTTTTTATTAATACTTTAATATTTCTATTTAGCAAGGATGCCTTAAATTGATCAGTGACAAGTGACAGTAAAAACCTTTACATCATCACAAGTAGTACAGCAGGGGGAATTGTGGCTCTGTCATTAAATAATTTCAATTAAAATTAGATCTCAGCTAATGATGTAAACTATAATGGAAGCCCTACTACGTGCACATTGCTATAATATTAAAGGTTACAATTAACAATTATTCCAAACTAGTCCAAATTCGATTCAATATTTTGTATCACCACTCAAATAAAAATGTATGTAAACATGTACATTGTACATATGGTAGTTTTTAAATTACTTTATAAATCTAATTATAAAATTGTTATGTTTCTGCTCTGATTTGTTGTTGATTTAAAGGCTATTCATTTACACAGTGGCTGTTATAACTTTTCATGACACACTCCAAAGAGAAAGGAAAAATTGAAATAGCATCATATGACCCCTTTAAAGAAACGTTAAATATTTAAGACATCAGTAACAGGTGACTGTAAATCTTTGGGTAAACAGCGAATCGATTCGATTCATGATTCATTCAAGAACAATTCAATTCAAGAACGATTTTTGCAAATTCAGAATGATTCCATTCGAGACAATTCACAGTTAAATTCGATGCGATTTGATTAATGGTTTGATTCTGCATTCTTAAAGTGCAATCACAGGATTATTAAAATGGTTCCCCTAAATTCTTATGTACAATGCACATTTCTTAAAATTAAGCTTAAAACATGTTTTAATGTCATTATTGATGAGGATTGTATAATCTTTGAATAATATCGGTCTTTAAATGCAAAATATTGTGATAGTCTGATAGCACAATCAAATGTACTTCATTATATCTTTAGTGGTACTTCAGCACGACTTCCTCACAATTAAAGTGCATTAAGTGCAAAATTAGTTGTTCCAATTGAGCAGACTTTAAGTTTAACAGTTTGGTATACCAATTGCAGGGTATTTTTATTAAGCACTTAAATATGTAAGTGTACTTGTAATTTGAATGATTTATTGTTATTTATCATTCAATGAAACTGTGCGTATGCTTTTAGACACTTACATTGTTTTTGCTCCGTCCAAATGCGCAGCCTTCAATTGCTCAGGTCATGTCAATGGTATGACTGAGAGCCATTGAAAAATTACAGAAAAGTAAAACTGCTTTACTAAGTAAAACTATTTTACTTTAGCAGTACTGGCCACGAGTACTAAGGACAGATCACACATGGGCTCAGTTTGGCTGGTCAGAAAAGGTGTCGGTGCGAGTCACTTACAGAGCATGAGCGCATCGGCGTGAAGGAGAGATGTGAGTGCACGAACTACGCTGTTCAGGGTCTCCATTAATTCGTGCTTTTAGTAATTTAATGTGTATAAATTTTGAATGACTGAATCTCTATAGAAATTCGATTCTTAGTGTTTTAAAATGATTAATAGCCGAAATCAACGATTCACGACAACGATTCATAATCGATGCAAATGCATCGTCAGGGTTTCTAATCGATGCATCGAGAAAACGAGTGAATCGTTACACCCCTTGTAACAGGTAACATATACGGATATATATGTGGTCATGTTTATTTCGTACTGTAACTAGTAGTAAAGAGGAAGAGATGATCGCATTCACTCAAGCCCTTGAATTGAGTCACCTGTATAGCTATGACATCATATCAAATAGTGTGAAAATGACATTTATTGTTTGAATTTCCTGATATAATGGAGATTTTGAAAGATGACATTTTGATTCTTATGGAAAGTAACAAAACGCATAGCTTATTATTGCACAGGAGGGGAACTATAATGTCTAGTGAGCTTTTATTCATGCATTAACTGAAAAAAAAAACTGATTAAAAGGTAGACCTTGGGATTTAAGGATTGATATCGATTTGTTAAAAGGAATATATATAAAATCATGGCAACGCTGTATTAATCTTAAATTATAATAAAGTTTCACATTCTGGTTTTATTGTATTTTTGGTCAAATAAATGCAGCTTTGGTGAACATAAGATATTCTTTCAAAAACATTTAAACATTTAGCTAAAACCATACTTTTGAAATGCTTGTGTATGTATGTACATATAGGAAAGTATGTTTCATGTACTGTAATTTAATAATCTTTTTACCTTCATTATAGTTCATTTTATTAAAAATTAGAACAATTTTTAAAATACAAATATTTCATGTAGTTTTAAATTAAAATGAGGTCATAGAAACCTACATGCAATAATTATAAAATAATTATATAGTTTTAGATGAATTATAGTATGTGAAACCGTAGTAAACTGCTGCTTGAAACTTCCCCCACACACACCTGTTGAGGAGCTATTAAAAAGAAAAGTGTTTGTTACATCGACAAGCATATCTCCAGAGGCAAGCTATGAATTTACTTTATGTCCCAGACATTTCAGCATGAGTCCGAAATGTCTTAAATTGATATACCAATTCTCACCACACAACAACTAATGTCAGAGCCCATCTCAGCAGCGAACACAAACATGCAACTAAGGGATTATACTAAGTATGCACAAAGAGAAAGTTTTTGCTTTTTTGCCATATGACTGTAAAGGAAATCAGAGCTCTTATACTTATGTTGGAAAATAAGCAATTATACTGCCATTTTCAAACAAGAAGAAACTTTACAAGAAATGTACCATAAGAATTTGAAATAAATATGCAGTCTAAGTCAGAATATACATCATCATAAAATTGTGATTTTGTATATCGAGTTCACAAAATGGCAATTCCCTTATTGTGGAAATAAATATTTAATATATTTATTTAAACATGTGTATTTAAATTATTTGTTGGCTTCCTATACGTAAGGTGTGATATTTGACACATTGATTTGCATTAAGAAACAGCAAGAAACATCGATAGCAAGTGTGTTAAGATGCTTTATGTGCAGTTTTGTGTTAACAGAGAATGTGGCCCCAAACCTACAAGCCAAAATGTATCTGGTTTTAGTGTGTGACATCATCTTTTAAAAAATGTAAAATTGTTTTACTTAATATATCTGTTATGAAACATGTCCGTCTTTATGAATTCTTTTAGCTGTGTGAGGGCCATAAATATGATTACATCTTTCTTGGCTGATATTCTAATAGCTTTAGCATTGCCTGCACCATACAGTCCAGCCAATGGATGAACAGAGAGATAAACAATAAACACAAAATTACATGATTTTTTTTTAATGTTACTATATAGATTTGACTGATATATTACACTTCGGTTACTTCTGCTTATCAGATTGAGTGATATATCACTCACATAATACAGAGAAACATTTTGCTACTATAGATGAATTTCAGGGGTGAGGGTCAACAGGGTGAACAGTAACCCTCTGGGCATCAGACGGCAGTCTAATGCCACTTCTCTTTTCCTCACAGGTCTATGACAGGCTGCAGAAGTACAGAGTCCAGCGGCCTGCTCCACTGTTGGAAAGCACACAGGGCCTGGCTCAGGACGTAAGTTCTCCTCTGGGGCATCTAGTGGTTTTTGTCTCCAGACCAGAGTTATCAGACAATCCAGCAGAGCTGGGATGGGATTCAGTTGCAGGACCTTTAGTCTGTTTAGTGTTGTCGGTTTGAAGTGTACTGGAAGGGATTACTTGTGAACACCCCAGTGTCACATAAATACATGTGCAGCTTCACAGACACTCATTTATTTATTGCTATTTTAATTATTTTTTTTAATCTGGCCGTACCTATTTATTTTCAAGGCCAAAATTGCATTTTTGTGTGTCAATGCCCAGCATGACCCAATTTTCCCTAAGCTCTTTACAACGGCAGTGTATAATTTCTACACCACCAGCATGACAAACTGGAAATTAGTTAAAAAATAATTATTGTTTCAAACAAGCTTCCCGAAAAACCCTGTCATCTGCATTGGTCAAAGAAATAAATAGCCCTGTCCTAAATTCACACCACTGGTTGAGCCAATATTGCTATGTCATACTGGTCAGTGGCTTGTTTCAGGAAGTAACGAAAGATTTGATAAAAAGCTCAGGTTTTAATACAGATTATTTGTTTTATATAATTTATATTATTATATGTCATTATATGTGTACTATTGTGAACGTGAACAATAATAATTTCAGTTTACTTCGCCCAAATATTGAGTTTGGACAGCTGCAGAGAGAAACTAGTAGCCAGACAACAATATCTCCTGTGTTGTCTCCAGTGGTTTCCAACGTTAACTCCAGCAATCTCCAGCGATCTCCTACATCTGCATAAGTACTCCCCTGTGTATGTATTTGTCTCTTCTGCTCCCCTGTGTAATGTGCTGCTCTGATATCCTACGAAAGACATCATTATTAGTATTGCTGCTCTATCTCTGCAATATCTCTATCTCTGCTCATTTACTTAGCTGCCATTATTCTTCAACTGTGCAATAAATACTTGCGATTGGGTTCCTAACATTTTGTCTACCGTGTTTGGTGTTCTGTGACAGAAGGCCAGACCACAACCCACCATGAACCCTGCAGGCACCGCACCCTCGATCCTTATTAATGAAGAGCTCTCCAATGGGCAGAAACGATATGGAATCAAGCTGGTCCTGCCACTCAGTCACTTCAGAACTTCATATCCCATTACTGTGGGGTTTTTGGAGATCCTGTTGGTGATACTTAACTCAGTGAACAACTCTATCAGTTACGTCAAGGAAAACCTCAATTATAGATTATGCTTTAAAGTTCTGGACCCTCACAGCTGCCAATGACTGGAATGAGCCAACATTGTTGGCAACATACCAACAAGGACTGGACCTAGCATTGAGGCTGCAACACGCTGCTTACAACAACTCCAGTGGGCTTGCATGATTCATTCAGCTGTCCATCCGTGTGGCTCACTGGATGAAGGATTGCCTCAATGATACATCTCACCTGCACCTCCTATCTTCATTCCCAGCCAGCTTTGTTTGACTCTCCAGAACCAGGCCACAAACCGATGCAGATTTGCACTTGCCTCTCTCCTCGGCAGAGCGTCAATGCTGGCGTACCCTTCATCTCTGTCTATATTACGGAGTAGGTAGACATGTGGTATCTACATGTCCCATCAAGCCCCCACAACCTTTAGTGAGTTTTGTCACTTATCGTTATCTCCATGCCAAGCCTTTAGCCACCATTGTAACTCTTGCTGTCTCCAATGCCTCTCAATCTGTGTCTGCTCTTATAGATTCAGGGTCAGCCGGCAACTTAATCTCTGTCGCTCCCTCCACCTCCAGAATAATCCCTGTGAATCTTCATACAAGATCTTCTCAATAATAGGAAAACCTCTGGGTCGTGGCCAGGGCTGGATTTACCTCTTTTCGTGACATAGGCAATACAATTTTTTGGGCCCCCCTTCCCAATTAATATAATAGGCCTGATATTACCACCCAATAATATTATAATTTTATTTAATATAATAATATTTCTTAATCAGTGGAAACCATAACAGTGTTTTCTATCGCAATAAGCGCTTGTGTTCAGTCAATAAAAATCGAATGTAGTTCTTAATTTGTTTGAAAACTGAGAAAGACCATTCCATTAATAGGCGCGGCAACATGGCCACATTACTGCTTCGGGAGTGCATTATTTGTGTTGAACTAGCTAATTTTTTACGCACCTCATCCCAAACCTTTCGTTGCAAATTCCAAAACCTCATTTTAGAGCTAATAACAGAGGCTTGAGCCATTGATATGCAGGCTAACGCAGTTATTAATGCAGTCTAAAGCAGTTATTAGAGAGAGAGAGGGAGAGAGAGATTAAGTGCGTGTGAATACTTGCATCTGTGCGTCTCTCAGCAGTATTCAGCAGCAGCATCTACTAATAGCGAATCTTTAAGTTGAACTGCTTCAAGAACCTCGCTACTGAGAAATGTCATGTAGCTTTTCAGCTGCAAAATTATTTTATTGATAAATTTGCGAGGCAGCCGCAGCTCTGACAACAAGTTTCTGTCCGCATCTGTCCATGTGTGTGCGAGTGCGTGTCTGTACTGTGTGTGTGTCTGTGAGAGAGAACGGGAGAACGAAAGTGTGATTTGCGTACATAAAAAAAGGTTGAAGACATGGAAATAGTTTGACATTATTACCCTATTGTTTGTTATATTTATTTGCTCAATGTCTTCTGGGGTTTTGGTTCTTTTACTGTTGTAGATATCCCATAGTATAACAAAAATATTATATATCTCTTCATTGTGTTTGGGCCCCCCCTGGACGAGCAAGCATAGGCACGTGCCTAGAATGCCTATGCATAAATGCGTGCCTATGCCCTGGTCGTGGTACTATCTGTCACTGTGTGGGTCCAGTAAGACTGCAGGTGGGCTGCTTGCAAGTGGAAGACATCACTCTCCTGGTTCTGGAAAAGACAACAGCAGTCATCATCTGTCACCATGTCTCAATTGTGTTGGCCAAGCTGAGGGAGTACCATCTTGACCTCAAAGCTGAGAATGGTATATTCCATTAGCTCCCATCAGTTGTTTGGATACCACCTTAGCCCTAAAGGGGTCAAAATAGATGAGGGGAAGATAGAAGCAGTAAACTCCTGGCTCAGTCCTACAACCTCGACTACTACAATTTATACCATTGATTCATTAAAAGCTACAGTATCATGTCGATGGCAATAGCCTTGTGGGTAGTGCGCCAAGAGTTTGAATCCCGGCTTGAGGACCATTCTTGATCCCGCCCCCCTCTCTCTCCCACAACGCTTCCTGTCAACTCTGATCTGTCCTATCATAGTAAAGTGGAAAATGCCAAAGAAACAAACCTACACAGTATCCTAACTGTTCCACTTACCTCCATCCTTGGATCCAAGTCCAAGTCTCTGTCCTGGACCCCAGAGCTTGACCAACCTCTCTCAGCTTGGCCAACACAAGTGCAACATAGTGACAATGGTCTTAGGAGTGCACAGTGGATGTCGTTGATGTAAATGTGGACAATGGTATGGGGCTGTTTTTCAGGGGTTGGGTTAGGCCTCTTACATTCAGTAAAGAGAAATCTTAAAGGGATAGTTCAACCATAAATGAAAATTCTGTCATTAATTACTCACCCTCATATCGTTCCAAACCTGTAAGACCTTCATTCATCTTCGGAACACAAAGTAAGATATTTTTGATGCATTCCAAGAGCTCTCTGACCATCCCATAGACAGCAAGGATCCTTACACGATCAAGGCTCAGAAACATAGCAAGGAGATCGCTAAAATAATCCATGTAAAAACAGTGGTTCAACCGTAACTTTACGAAGCTATGAGAATACTTTTTGTGTGCAAAGAAACTTAAATAATGACTTTATTCAACCATTCATCTCCTCCGAGTCACCCTATAGCACCATTTTGGAGAGTATAACATACGTAAACAACGTATGCAATGTATGTACGAGGATAGGTTGTTTACGTTCAGATCAAAGCGTAAACAACGTAAACAGCATATCCACATTCGGTGCTACTGACACAGAACAGCATATGTTGTTTACGTGTGTGATACTCTCAAAAATGGCGCTACAGGGTGGCCAACGTGGAGACGAATTGTTGAATAAAGTCGTTATTTTTGTTTTCTTTGCGCACAAAAAGTATTCTCGTAGCTCCGTAAATTATGGTTGAACCACTGATGTCACATTGATTATTTTAATGATCTCCTGGCTACGTTTCTGAGCCTTGATCGTGTAAGGATCCTTACTGTCTATGGGAGGGTCAGAGAGCTCTCGGAATGCATCAAAAATATCTTAATTTGTGTTCCGAAGATGAACGAAGATCTTACAGGTTTGGAACAACATGAGGGTGAGAAATTAATGACAGAATTTTCATTTTTGGGTGAACTATCCCTTTAATGCTTCAGTGTACCCCACTGTGCCCCAATATACAAAGCAAGATTCATAATCTTCACAAGGTTCCTATGTATTTGGAAAGTTACTGTTGGTGTAATGGTCAGGTGTCCCGATATCCGGATTTGGTGCTCAAGAAGAAACATTTTTTCTTATTATAAATGATATGTTATTATAATAGAGTTTTTGCTGCTTAATGTTTTGCTTTTTGTGAAGTATTTTCATCACAAAAACAGTTGGATTACACTTCAACCTCTATCTTTCCTCATTACAGTTATCTCCCTTCAACAGTATTCACATTTCTATTATAAAACTAAAGTTTTTCCTCTTCCTTGCACACCTTGCAAAAACAATCAGCTCTGACTTTATCAACTCAATTCTGCAGAGACTCTTAAAAGAAAGATTATCTCCAGCTTTTGACTGTGCATGCTGTATTTCATTAAGGCAAAGAGTAGTTTTAAAGTGATATCACTTTCCATCTTCTCTCGGACTGAAAATGAGGAGGACATTTTGGAGCATTAAGCCGTTAAAAGCATTTTCCTTACGTCGCAGCTCAGTGTAAAATTTCAGTTTTGGAGATTTAATGCATGTTTAATGTCAGGTCCGGTGTCACTCAGAACCACATTCAGTCAAGTTGGTTGTTCCTTGGCTGAACCACAACAGAAACAGCTATTTCTCCAGGGCTCCTGGTACTGTGGCATTTTGACCTGCTATGCAAACATTTGCATAATATTGTCAAGTGGGTTGGGATAGACTGAACCAGACCCCCGAGCATGGCCAAAACAAACTGGCACCAGATCAGTTCATGATACCTGGAGCATAAACTAAGCCAAATGGGCTGGTCAGAGATTTTTGCCTGTTATACCATATCGTACAGACATTATTAAATGTTTAATGCTTCTTATTTTTCATTCCAGTTGGCAAAAGAGCTGTGCTGTGTAGTCGCCAGCCCAGAGACAACAGAGTTGTTATACCTGCTCTCTAAACCTCATGTACAGGTGAGAAGAGAATGTACATTTAGGTCAAGATTTAGTGACAATCACAAAAAAAGGCAAAAGCTTGACTGACATAAAGGCTTGACTGAAAACAGAAGCAAATAAAAGAATCCCTGCATGTATGGTGGGCTGGTGTCAATAGACAAAGTACATAAATAGTATTTAGCGAAAATTTCATGATAGACACAATATATGGTTGATAAAATATGGAAAATATACATTACTATTTGACTCCAAGCATGAACTGGATAAAAAATTTTTTTTAAAAATCATCTTTAGGCCTGTAAAAATCCAGACCCACACATTAAGTTTATTGAGTTCAGGAGTTTCAGTCATGAGAGCTTTGACAGCTTTATTTGTGATTGGTCTAATGATATGTTGCTTCTTGGATCGTTTGTTTGGCTCTCACATTTTATAAAGCAACACTGGGTTGCCTCAGTAAGGTGATATTCAATGTGGAAAGATTCTTTATCAAGCCAAGTGTAAAGACCAGTTGATTTACCTTTTGATTTTCTGAAAATATTTTTATTTGTATATATATGCTACTGTTCAAAAGATTGTGGTCTGTAAAATGTATAAATTTTTTTGAAAGTCACTTATAAAGGCTGCATTTATTTTATTATAAGGCTGCATGGACAATCCTGCCCTACATTTTTTTCTCATTCAAAAAGATGCTTCACTCGGATATACATATTCATTATACATATTACTGTTCAAAAAAACAGTGATTTGTATCCGTCACACATTATCCCTTACAAATGCGGCTGACTGAATTCCTAATTCCTCTATGTTTTCATTATCCTCTTCAGGCTCTTCTCTCAGTGCATGACATGGTGTCTCAGAAAGAGTTTGACCCTCGTTTGCCTCCTCTGCACCCACTGCCCGATTACATCGAGAAAGAGGAATATTCAATCAAGATTGTTCGCTTGGTTAAAAACCAGGAGTCACTGGTGGGTCCCTCTGAATAAAATGAGAAAAAAAACATAGGAAAATAGTCCATGTTGGTTAAAACAGGTTTGTAGTAGTAGGAACTCAGCAGTTAAGTCATTATGGACCGTCATCATATCTACAATCCATTAGAGATATCTGCTTCAGCTTTAAATGTAAAGTGCATTGGTCTGCCTTACAACATCAAGATACATTTACAAACTCATTTCTGAAGACTATTGCATGAAAAGATCATTCATAGATTAACTTTTTCCATAAATTAAACTGTGAGTTATACTTCATGTTTATATTAAGGTCAGGGCACTGAAATTGATTAGGAATCAATTGAAATCAACCGAATCAACTAAAACTGATTACTTCACTGAATTGTTTTTGATTGTAATCAGCATAACACTAATAAGGCACGCATATTTAGGGGTAAGATTTGGATTATAATACTAAAGAGTATCAAAGTGCAACCTGGATCAGTTTTGCCTTCAACTTTACCTCCTTTGAATCATATTTTCCATCTCTGAGCAAAACCATCTGCACTTACATTTGTGTTGCTTAGATGGGATGCTTTGAATACAAATAGGAAACGCTATACAGCCCTCTGCAAATAAAATGCATGACTTCAGATCGAACCCTCTCAAACAAGGTCTATCTTTTTATTGTGGTTTATCCTTCTCATTCTGACACACAATGTGGCTGTCTTCCCATTCATAATGCATAACTTGTAAAATGCAGATTTTCCCTATTATGAGTCTTTTCGTCTATAACATCTGGTGAATAATGCTGAAGGCGGCAACCATTTGAATTGAGCTTTATGAATTCCAGAGAATGAATGGAAAGAGCATCATAATTTTTTGACATGACTGTGACGAAGAGTCGCTCCATGCCATCCGCTCGCTAAACTGATTTTTTTTTTCCATTGTTGTACATCGTGATTGTGATTAGAATGGAATACTCTATGATGAATCAGAGAACAGTCAAATACACAACATTTCCAAGCAGTCTGGTGGGAACAAGAAGATGCAGAGTGTCACTAAATATACTATACTGTTTTATTTTAGTTTTGTTATAATTTTTTAAGTTAGCAAGGACACATACAGTTGAGTAAAAGTGTCAGTAAAACTTTTACATTGCTACAAAAAAGGAAATTATAAAAAAATCTATTGTAAATAAATGCTGTTCTTTTGAACTTTACATTTATCAAAGAATCCTGAAAACAAAATGTATCATGATTTGCACAAAAATATTAAGCAGTACAACTGTTTTCAACATAAAAAATAATAAGAAATGTTTCTTAATCACTAAATCAGCATTTTTGATAAATATCTTGATCATGTGAAACTAAAGACTGGAGTAATGACTGCCAAAATTTCAGCTTTGCATCACAGCAATAAATTAAAGCTGCATGCAGCGTTGAAAGGGCCCTCGCACCCGGGTTCACCGCCAGCTTTAGAAAAACAGTGAATGGTGAGCAATATGAATTTAAAGTGATAAATATAGGAGGAATATGTCAGTCATTTATATGTGCCAAACTTCCTGCTGTCAGCTGGTGATGCTATGACTATAAATGAATATTGGCATGTAGATATCTTCAAACCATGACTTTGATCAAACATATGAAGTTTGGTGCAGATTGGACATTGCATGTTTAAGTTAGTGTAAAACAAGTAGTTTCCTGTTGCCAGCAGATGACGCTATGATTATAACAGAATATTGGCCTTTACATGTGTTCAGGCTAGGACTCTTATCGAACGTGTGAAGTTTGGAGCAGATCGGACATTGTATGGCTGAGTTACAACAACTTCCTTTTCCATGTCGAAACATCGAACTTTGTCAGGCCACCACAGACAAGCCCTTTAACAAAATCTCTAGATATTTACAATTTAACATTGCAAAGGCCTTTAGAGTAGACTGACCAAATATAATGTTGATGTCATTAAATCTCTAGGAGGAGTTTGTTATAGTGTAAAACATGCCACTTCCTGTTGCCAGCATGTGCACTATGAATATAACTGAATATGGCCATGGGCATGACAGGACTCTTATCAAACATGTGAAGTTTGAGGCAGATCGGACATTGTTTGACTGAGTTACAGCAACTTCCTGTTTCATGGAGAAACATTGAAGTTTGTCAGGCCGCCATGGAGTTGCCCTTCAACGAAAACTCAAGATCTTCGCAATTTAACGTCACAAATGGCTTTAGATTACACTGACCAAATTTGGTGTTGATCTGTTTAAATCACTAGGAGGAGTTTGTTTAAATACAATGCCGGAAAATGGCAAAAACGGCACAAAACTTGAAAACGAGAACATTCAAAATAACAGACTGCCTGTTGGGTTTTGGACGTCGTACCAGGAGACTTTTTTGTAGGTATTGGTGTGTTACATGTGTCTACCAAATTTTGTGCATGTATGTGAAACATAGCTCAAGGGGTACTTCGTTGAAATTTTATAGGTGGCGCTATTGAGCCATTTTGCCACACCCACTTCTGAAACCCATGTCAGATGTAAATTTTCGCAACTTCTGGCACGTGTGCAAAGTTTCATGAGTTTGAGCATGTTTAGGCCCTCAAAAATGCAATTTATTTTGGAGAAGAAGAAGAAGAAACTGAGCAATTCCAATAGGGTCCTTGCACTGCGGTGCTCAGGCCCTAGTTACATTTGAAAATATATTCAAATAGAAATTTGAATTTTATTGTAATTTTATTGTAGTTAATAATATGACTATTTTTTATGTATTATTACTATATTTACTGTCTTCTGGATTGTTTCAGTGGTTTGGTATAGAATACATTCAGTTTCTTGTTTCTCAACTTTGCTGCATAGTGACTCTCTACATGACATCTGAAACCAGTGCTCTGCCATCAACCCAGTAGCATGCTCTGATACTGTACAAACAAAAGTGCCTGCATTTCCCGTCATCAGAGTTGGTCTGTGCTCGATGTTCCAGCAAAAATATTTGTGGTTTACAGGGACTTGTGTAGTGGAAGTCAGACCTGGCAGATGGGGGTTAACTTACAAATGATGATCAGTGATGTTGCCATGGCGCTACATTAACCTTAAATCTGACTGTTCTCTCTTTGAGCAGGCTATTTTAAAGAGGCACAGACCAGAACCCATCTGTTTTTTCCCCACACCATGAGTAGAGAGTTATAAACATTGGGCCATGGCTTTTCCGATTTCTATTTAAGAAGCATGAGAAGGAACTAAAAAGTTATCCACAATCTGAAGAGATCTTTTTGTCTTACTTATAGGGGGCCTTAGCCCTGCGATTAAGGACTACAGGCCATTTTGGCTTCTCCCCTGGTTGAGAAACTATGCAGGGCCCCTAACTCCTATATCATTGTCCCTTGTAGCGTCATTTACCTCATTGTCTGCTTCTGCACAGGCTTGTTAAAGCTTGGCCTCCTGAAAACAGTTATCTAAGAGGCCTTTTAAGGACTAAAATATCACCATAGTTTGGACTAGAGTGGTATTGTGGCCACGGTCAGTGTACTGATTGTCTTGGGAGATGATGTGTATGAAATGAAAATGTTGGTACATGATTAAAACAGAAATGATTTTTCTATTGAAGTGATGTGAGATGGTGCTAATGGTTATGGAATTGTAGAAAAACACAGACATGTGTCTAATTCATCAAGGTCAAATCTGATGTGTGTTTAGATCCAATGAACCTGAAAGATTAATTTCATTGGCTGCTGAATTTTCCTTCACACACTAAAAGAAAACGGATCAGATGTTTGACATATAATGTCAACAATCTGTGTGATTTAAACAAAAGCTTTTTTGTCCTAATTTGAGCTTTCATGAATAGGGTTTCCCTCGTTAAGTTTGACTTTTTCACCATGGTTTCAAGCAACATTTAATGTTCAGCTCTCACTGCACAACATGCTTAAGATTCCTGTTGTGATATTCACACCTGTATCACCCTTTCTAAAGATATTTCTGTGCCGATTTCTACTTGGACTTAGCTTAACACTCACATATTGATTTACAAGGCAAACTGGGAATGTTTGCTTGCAATTGGTCCCTCCAGATATATGAACTTGAGCTTTACAGTCAATTTACTTTTTGGAACTTTAATGTTCAAATTTCTGAATGATAGCCTGCAGAACCTCAGTAGACATTTCTATGTTCCAGGGAGCCACCATCAAGAGAGATGAGTCCACTGGAGCTATAGTGGTGGCTCGGGTCATGAGAGGAGGAGCTGCTGATCGAAGTGGTGAGAAGCATTTTTAATGTATTAATATTAAAACCTAATTAGAACCAACATCAGTATATAGACATAGGAGAACACTTAAAGTTGACACAAAATGGAAATTCACCATCTTATTGATCTTATTGTGAATGATTCATCCATACTGTACATATGTTTCATTTTTACTCATAGCTCATCATTTTTTATCAAAATGTCATAACTGCTGTGACTTTCCAGTCATTTAGTCCACTAAGCTTACATTCAGATCTGCAGCCATCTGATATTTTTTTCTTGGATGTACATCACATCTGTCGCTACTCAAAAGTCTTGCTTTAAATATGCATGGCACAGTCCTATACCAATGCTTATAGTTCCCGGTTAAGCTCTTGATTAAATTCACTCCACATTGTTTAACATAATTGTATAATTTGGCTGAAACTTTCTTCTCATTGGTTCATTGGTTAATACTACAGGTCTAATTCACGAAGGGGACAAGCTCAAGGAAGTCAATGGTGTTCCAATGGAGGACAAGAACCCAGAGGAGATCATTCCCATACTAGTATGCGTCGCAGATTACCAGCATGTGTTGCATTTTAGAAGCTGGTTCCCAGCATAGGATGATATTGTGTTGGTGTCCCCACAAGACATTTTAACTAGCTTAACCAGCAAACCTCTCTTGGTTAACATGACTATGCTGTCTAGGCCAGAAACCAGCAATATCCAAAATAGAAAGTGATGTTAGTCTAAGCTGTATGTGTAAATGTTTTTAAGAATTTGGTATGTTTGTGCATTTGTTGCTGAGGGTTTTCTGGAGGATAACAAATCTGCATTCTGTCTTTATTCATAAGTGTTATTGAATCTGAACGTTGTAAGCTTGTTTGGGGCCTGTATGTTATTATCACATCTTCCAGGCCAAGTCAGAAGGAGCAGTGACCTTCAAAGTCATCCCAGGCACCAAAGAAGAGCCAGAGACCATAGATAACAAGGTCTCATTATTAAAATAAAGTGTACAGAGCTGTTTTCTAAATTGATTTACACTCCAGATAATTAAAACCAAAGTTAGTGACATCAAAATGTATTTGTGGATTTTTGCAGATCTTTGTAAGGGCACTTTTTGACTATAATCCCCAAGAAGATCCTGCTATTCCATGCAAAGACGCCGGGTTGGAATTCTGGAGGGGAGATGTGTTACAGATTGTAAGCCAAGAAGATGACACCTGGTGGCAGGCCAGACGGCACGGTGACGCCAACCTCAGGGCTGGATTGATTCCCTCAAGACAGCTTCAGGAAAGGTAAGAAAACTTTCATAATCATACTATTGCAAAGTTTCAACTCCAAGTCTAGACTGAGAAACTAAATCCTTCTGTTGTCAGAGTCATACACAGACTTTGTCAGTCAGACTCAGATCCTGTCATCATGTTCCCAATGTTGAATTAGACACAGTCAGGGGCAACACAATCTGACACTCCCTTAGTCAAACTTTCGCTCATAAAAAGAAAAACAATCAATGTCATCAAAATGTGTCTTTTGTCTGGACAGTTGGTGCCTATAAATGACACTAAGTGATGAGAATATATCAGCCTGCATAGATTTTGTTATTTGTGTGTCTTTGAGTTAATGACATGAAAGTGACATTGCTGAAAGGTTTACTAAATAACTTGATGTAGTCTCAACATAAGATGACACGTTCACCACAGTCCGTTCACTGACCGTCTGAGGCCAGTTCCCACAAACGGTTAAGCATGTTCTTAAACTGGCATGCTGGCTTTATGGAACTTTTGGGAATACGTTTTTTTTTTTTTTTTTGTCTTGTCCAGACAGAACAGTCTGGTAGTCGATCAAACAAGTACATCTGAGGGTGAAATAATATGCCAGCTATAGCTATATTCTGAGAAAAAGAGTTTTGTTTGTGAATTGGTCTTTTTATTTCTTATTATAGAGTTATAGAAGATAACAGATTCTATTTACATTATATGCTATTGTTTTGTGATATACTATACACTACTGTTAAAAAGTTTGGAGTGTCAGTAAAGACGTTGTTACATTGTTACAAAAAATAAATTAAAGACCGTTCTTTTGAACTTTCTATTCATTAAAGAATGCTGAAAAATATCTCAGTTTCCACAAATATTAGCCAGCACAACTGTTTATAACTGTGATGATAATAATAAGCAATGAGTACCAATTTAGCATAAAAGAATGATTTCTGAAGGATCATGTGACACTGAAGACTAGAGTAATGACTCCGAGAAAATTCAGCTTTGCCATCGCACAAATAAATGACATTTTAAAATATATTCAATATATTGCACTATTACGGTTATTACTGCAATTACAATTCTTACTTTTTAACTATAGTGAATTTAAGCCAGAATATGTTTCAGTGTCAACCAGACCTACTAATGTTTTTGTCAAATGTTTTGACTATGAGAGACTGAACTTCTTTTGACTTTGAAGAGACAGCTTTACAATATTTATGAGGAACTTCCTATGTTTCCCTACAGGAGAGTGACTTTACAAAGGCCTGCAGTTCTGTTCCACCCACTGAGAGAGTCGATTATATTCGGTGGTAAGCTCAGAAATCCAAGCAGTATTGAAACAACATGCAGATAAGACAGCATTTGAAATATCCAAATGCTAAATATATTCACTCTCTCTGGCCCTGTCCCAAATGGTGCACTTTATGCGCACTAGCAAACCTTTAATTGCTGCCATGCATACATACTTGAGCCCAACATGGCAGTAGGGTGTTCCTTTTGTCGTTTTAGCTGCTTTGGAGGCATGCAGCCCTCATTGTGCACTTTTTCTGAGCCTTATGTCTTACTCAGATGTCTCACTCAGCTTAGGCCACACTGTCACACTTGACATCACTACAAAAATTGTTAGTGACAGTCAGAGATGAGAGCGTGTCTACGGGTGCCAGGCATCTTCCTGGAGCTGCTCTCTGGAGACGTGAGCTGAATAAATGACCTGATAAAGTCTGAGGAAGTGCTGTAAACGAGAAAATTCAGCTTTGCCATCGCACAAATAAATGACATTTTAAAATATATTCAATATATTGCACTATTACGGTTATTACTGCAATTACAATTCTTACTTTTTAACTATAGTGAATTTAAGCCAGAATATGTTTCAGTGTCAACCAGACGTACTAATGTTTTTGTCAAATGTTTTGACTATGAGAGACTGAACTTCTTTTGACTTTGAAGAGACAGCTTTACAATATTTATGAGGAACTTCCTATGTTTCCCTACAGGAGAGTGACTTTACAAAGGCCTGCAGTTCTGTTCCACCCACTGAGAGAGTCGATTATATTCGGTGGTAAGCTCAGAAATCCAAGCAGTATTGAAACAACATGCAGATAAGACAGCATTTGAAATATCCAAATGCTAAATATATTCACTCTCTCTGGCCCTGTCCCAAATGGTGCACTTTATGCGCACTAGCAAACCTTTAATTGCTGCCATGCATACATACTTGAGCCCAACATGGCAGTAGGGTGTTCCTTTTGTCGTTTTAGCTGCTTTGGAGGCATGCAGCCCTCATTGTGCACTTTTTCTGAGCCTTATGTCTTACTCAGATGTCTCACTCAGCTTAGGCCATCATTTGGGACAGAGTCTGTCTCATGTGAAAACTGGAAGTCCAATTCATTTTTATTAGTTTTTTTTTTATTAGTTCATTTAAATTAGTTACTTAAAAAAAAGGTCTCTGCACAGACATCTACACTGCATTCAATTTACCAAATAGTATATACGCTATATGAAGGCATAAAACAAAACAACTAGCCTATAAGACATAAAATTATCAGAACACTTTTCAGGGTAATTTTAAACAAATACAGCATGCGTTGTTAATTTAGAGCTCCTGTTGGATTAAATATATAAACAAAGAGCATCCCACACTGTGTTAAAGAGTGATGTGGAAATGGAGTGATGTCACACTTAACATCACTACAAAAATTGTTAGTGACAGTCAGAGATGAGAGAGTGTCTACGGGTGCCAGGCATCTTCCTGGAGCTGCTCTCTGGAGACGTGAGCTGAATAAATGACCTGATAAAGTCTGAGGAAGTGCTGTAAATCACAGTGGCTCTGCCGGACATATTAAAAAATGTTTTACTACGTGTGAACACATTCATACTAAGCCATTGGAAAGGTTGCAGTCACTCTGTTCAGAACAGTCTTAGTCAATCTTTCATTTTTGCTAAAGACTTCAGCATAGACTAAGCAAAGACAGCAATGTGTGACCTCAGGATGAAAGCAGTTCTCCAGAAACATATTTAAAAACACTGTAAAATTAATTACCACAGAAATGTAAAGGTGTTCTTTCAGTTTTATTGTAATATTATAATGAATATTATTTTACAGTAATGTTCAGTAAAGTTATTTTAATAAAGTTATTAAAGTTATTTTAAAGAAGATTCTTTGTTGAAAAAAACATCATCTGATACTGATATTTTGGATTACATGTAATGCATCTGATATCCATTCCTTACTCAGATTAATACAAGCAAGCTTCCAGCAGCTATTTTTTTTAAATATGTTACATTTGGTATTACAGTTTGGCTTCTATAAACAAGTATGACATCAAAGAATAAATATATGTCAGTCTTATGCACACCCCTTCAAGTAAAGTGTAACCAAATAATGCACACTACATATGAGCTAGTTCATCTGAACTGATGAATAGCGAAAACAATATGCATGCAAAGTAACATGTAGTTGCCATTGTCCTATGTCTTTATTTTGCTGCAGTATAAATTGTTGAGGAAATTAAATTGGGGTGGAAAATGAAGAAGCCAATAGATGGATCTGGAATAGTTTGATCTCGTCTTGAAAAGCCATTGTAGGTCTGTTCAAAGCAACAGCCTTCCCTATAAAACCTCCATCTGTGGGTTGGATGCGAGGAGAGTGACAGCTGCTCTGCGACTCCGAGTCCGTACACGGCGATGATCGACGAGGTCACGTTAAGGCCTCCCCTATAACACACTCAAACACAGAGCTTGGGTTGAAGCAGAAGGTTCCCAAAATGCCACATGTTAAACTCAAGACAGCACCAGCATTTTTACTGGCTCTGTAAAAGCATGAAAAACATCATTCCCAAATGAACCGCAGGTGAGGACATGGTTAGGACAAGTTGAGCTTGGTCACAGAAAATTGCAATTACTATTCCAAAAATCCACCCTGGCCACAGCATGATGGACAATTGGACTGAACGTCCATGTCTTGCCCCTTGGCTGCCATTGCATTGTGGCTTCTAAAGACAAGACCACACACATATTGTAAGCTTTGGATTTATGCTGCTTACCTCGTCCCGTTTGAGAAGTAAAAGTATGTTTGTTCTCTTCCAAAATGATTACATTTTCCTTTCTTTTCTCGATTTACAGTACATTCATCAAAAAAAAAAAAACTTGTCATCTCAATGTTTACATCCTAAAGCCACCAAATGAAAGATTAGAGATGAGCAAAGGTTTATCTAAAAAGTGTATCCTAAAGCAAAGGGCAGGTTTATCTAAAATAGATTATGAAGTAAAATAAATTCCATCTGCCAAACAGTCAGTCAATCAATCAGTCAGTCTATGTATCTTCATTGGACCCCATATGCCCCTGCATCTAGTCAGCCAATCAGCTTAGAGCTTGTCAGATAGAGAATGTACACTCAGGTCCTGTGAGTAATATGCATAAGCGGTCAGTGAACTAACTGTGAGGATGCAGTCTAACTCTGTGACCATGATGCTCCAAATTTAGGCAGTAAAAACGACATCACATGTTCACTGATTATACAGTAAGATTGATTGATGAAGTGCTAGGCCTTTTGCTGTATTTAAATGCAGCTTCTTTCTTTAACAAATAGCTATGATGCCTGTGTAACTTCAGAATGAGAATGTATTTCCTGATTATTAGAAATCTCTACAAAATGTCAAAAACTTTTTTTTTTATTGTTGGGAGTGCAACATCTGATTGACTCTCTCTCTCTCTTTCCCTCTTGCCCTTTCATTCACACTGAAAAGACAACATGGAAGGTAATTTTTCATCCTTTTCAGCACGGTCACATAACAGTAACCCAGCTCTAATTTGCCAGTATTTTTGCCTTAGTTTACATCAAGTTTAAAAAAACAGTAACATTGCAAATTACCCCTTTCTTTCACCACTTCTTGATTAAGGGTTGCCCAGACTCCATCTCACATTTATCATTATTTGATTAGAGTGCACTTTTTTCTCTTTTCTCTCTAACCTGCTTTCACTCAATAACCAGAGGATGTGGACTATGGAGCAATAAGTGGCATACATATAGGTGAGAATTTATTTGTCTGAATTTTATTTGTAACCTCCTAGCCTGGTATTCATACTTTAAACATTGTAAGCACATAGCCATTGAGTCTTAAAGTTCCAAACACACACACACACACATTACTTTTTTTCACTCACTTGTGGCCCACTGCAATACAAGTAATTCCCAGAAAACACATAAAATGTTTATACTGAATCAAAATTGCTTTTGATAAAAATCATCTGTATAAAGATGCATAAATACAAATATGCATTTCTGTTTGACCCCACCGCTAACTCAAATGCAACCAGTCACACTCCTTTTTTACAGTATATGTGACTTGGCCTGTTAGCCACAGTGCTGATGAACAAGACCATTGTTAAAGATATCCATCTCATCCTGTTTCATTTGTACTTTTGCATTATGTTCCCACACCATTATGAGGATGATGTTTATTCAAGGTGAGGATCATTAGTTTTAGATTTAGTCTGATCTGGTTTGAGCATTCATGCTAATGGGAGAGGCTTTGATGGCTCCAGACTGGGTGCTTTGTGCTGGTCCATTAGTGATAAAGGCCATCTGAGAGCTAAACATGCACTGCGCTCATTTAGCAGCTAGGCTACCGGATGAGTCTAACAGAGACGCGCCTCATTTTCAGCTCTTTGGCAACCTTGACCCCACTTCAAAAGCCAGCATGTCCACAGCTAATCTCCAGGACACACAATGGCCAGACTAGCATCAGGACTGCTGTGGTCCCTCAAGAAAACATGCTTAAGACATTACAATGGGACCAAGCCATACTGGGCTTATTTTGCCAGCTCCAAAATTTCAGATTTAGCACAGCAGCAGCTCAGCAAGCATGTGATGGAAAATTGGATGCCTTTGCCACAGATGGAGAGCTCTGGTAGCACTGGATGCTTTTTGAGCAATTGTCAACATTCTTCTATAAATCTGTTCAGCAAAGCCCTTGCTAAAATTTAGAGGTGCTGTTCAGAGTAACCACGTGGAGATACAAGGCCCAGGGTATTGTGGGATATGAAAAGGGTCATGAGGGAGAGGTGTGGTGGGATATTAAAGTGGGGAAACCTGGAAAAGGTATCAGCAAATCCCAGTAAGATCCAGACATGGAAAAACAGAGACGCATTAAAAACAGGCTCTATTTACAAACCAGATTATTTAATCAGTATGCAGTCCCACATGCTACAAAGAGCCAATAGTTAATGCATGCTTGAAACTCCAGAAAGCTTGCTTACTTCTCCAGATCTTTTGAATGTTTTCGGTGTCAGGTAGCCGCAGCTCATGTGCATTAGCAGACTTCAGTAATATGGCAACTGAAAGTCTTCGTTAAACAGATAATGGTTTTAGCATGCAGTCTGGTGTAACCAACCGCATATGATATATGTCATACTTTTTATGTACCGTTTGTGGCAGATAATGTGGACTGTGCACTTGATGAGGTTGCGTGCCGTGTGGTTTCTGAAGAGGCATAACAAAGCGCTCCCTGTCATATTAGCGGATTGTCTGTCCAAATTCCACTGCATGGGATATATGGTGTCTGTGTTGGCTCACTGCTCGCACGTTAAATCGCTATCGATGATTTAATGGCTCATCAGGGGGGCTACATGCATCGCACCAGGAACACGAGGGCAGCAGTCTGGGGGTATAGAGGGTATCCAGTGTGTTTTGGAGTATCTCTCACTCTTTCTAAAAGGTATAGTGCACCCAAAAATAAAATGTTAATTAAAGATCTGTCTCTTCTGTATTGTGATGCATGTCTGAGTGTAACAGATTATGATAAAAGAAGAAAATAAAGAAGAAGGGCAGGGATTCATAGTCGATTATGGAAGGGCAGGGTTTAAGCAGGCTAAATGATTAGAGAAGTCCAGCATAAGTCAACACATAGAATCTGTCGTTTTAGTGGAAAATCAAGTTATGGCATTTCAAAGCAAAATTATGAGAAAGAAAGAAAGAAAGAAAGAAAGAAAGAAAGCATGCATGAATGTATATTTCACAATATGAGTCATCAATATTTGAGTCATCAATATTTTTGTCCAGTTTAAGGAGACATTTTGAATGTATACAGTACATCTGCTAACAATTTAATTTTGGAAATTTAAGTTTTCAAATGTAACAGGCCCCAAATATGATAATTACTTTGCAATAGACTCCCTACCTAAAATATAAATGCTATATGTTGTCATGTACAAAGACTCATTTGTACTATATATATATATATATACAGTGGGTACGGTACTGTATATTATCTTAAACTCATGTAATGCAATTAACTTCAAGCATGTTTGTGCTAAATGAGACAGGTACATTATTTATATAGCGTATTTCCCACACGCAGGTAGTTTATAGTGTTTAAAATGGTTGTTAACATTTTGTTTTATTTACCGGTATTTTACATTATTTATGAATGTAATGATAAAATGTGACTCAAACACAAATTCTATTTATTAATGTTTGTTTTTTCTTTTTTTTCTCTCAACAATGCAGTTTTGACCAGTGTGACTTATAGTTAGGGTCAACTTAGTTTCCAGAAAATGCCTAGTTCTTTAATGAAACTGTAGATGGCACAGGCTGACGGGTATGTATTAACGTAACTGATGATATTTGTTAAATGACTTGGCACAAGCTGATTGGTTCATGTTGCATACGCATGCAGCCAGGGCCGTTTCTAGGCATAGGCGAGCTAGGCGGTCGCCTAGGGCGCCACCAGCTGAAGAGGCGCCAATAAGCGCACGTACTGGCACTTTTAGGTTGTGATAAAGAGTGGCACGGTCACCCTGAAATATGACTGCCGCCCCCACTGGATCCTCCAACATTATTGGGCTAGAGTACTGTCAATCTGACGATGCCTGTATGCCACTAGATCAGAGTGCTGTCAATTCCTGCCTGATTGTTGCATGCAAAGTTTGCATTTGGAGCGCTCAACAACGCCACTAGATCAGTGGGCTCTGTCAGTGCTGTGGCAAGGTAACACTTTTTTAAAAGGGAATAGGGATTTCGCCTAGGGCGTCAAATTGGCTAGAAACGGCCCCAAAATGTTTATCTTAACAGTCAATTTACAAATAATGCATTCAGATTTGTGGAACTAAATGCACTGAATCTCCACAAATTAGTGTCGTTAATATGACAACCAATTTGAATGTGACAAGCAACTGGTGTCTGAAAAGAATTATGTATATATATAATTTGGGGGGGGGCAATAGGGATTTCGCCTTGGGCGTCAAATTGGCTAGAAACGGCCCTGATCCCAATTGTGCTGTAGTGTATACTTAGGCACGACTGTATATTGAATTTAAAAAAAGAAGTTGCAACAAAATTGCAACAGCTCTGTTATAATACATATATGAGAGCACATATAAGTTACCCTTGACAGATCGTTTTTAATATTTCTACCATGTCACACTGGCTATTTATTGATCATTTTCATATTAACTGAAAATAGGTATATTCAATTTAATAATTCAATAAATGTATAGAAGTTAGGACCTCTTGGTTGAGGAAAATAAATTGCATAAATAAAATGCCCGAAATACAATTCTGCCTCAGATAAAGATTTACAAATTAGAAAGAAGTAATCAAGACAATAAAAAGTTTAAGTCTATTTTAATCCATTCTTTAAAACTAGAACGGTTGTTTTGGATTTAAAAAAGAAAACAGAAAAATAACAAACTAAAGAATCTAACTTTAAAATCCGCCAATAGGCCTAACAAAGACTAGACTAGCTAGTTAGTCAACATTGCTAGTCTAGTCTTTGAAAACAATTAAAGCGAACAGTTCATAAAAGATACTGAATTAACACGTGAAACTGTTTTATTGCTGTCAAAAGCTGCATCGCCTTTAGACTGTAAACTACTCTGAGGCAGCACCACCACGCGGTAAATATGATTTTCATCAGCAAAAGTTCCACAAAACAGACGTGAAAGCATATATACATTGTGGTAAAAATGATTTCGCCAATGTTTTCCTCATTAATGAGAAAAGTGAAATGAGAGAGAAAATATAAACAGGCTAAATAAAACACAGAGTCAGAATGTTTAACAGTTTTAGTAACTGCATGCGAAATATGATTTGTTGAGCAGAAATAATTCTTAGGAAACGTACACTTGTTCTTAATGCATTTGTACAATAGAAACACAGAAACCGTAGGCTATTTGCATTTACCAAACATAGTCCCGTAAAGGAAAAAATCATAACGAGTCACTTACCAAATAAAGTGCCACAATATTCCTCCTGATCATGTAGGTGAGAAGAAGCAAAGAGTCAGTGAGTTCTGTGAAATATATGACGTGTAGTAATCCAAATATCTCTACAGTCCGCAACGGGGGAATAGTCCGTAAGAGCGCAGCTTTCTATATGAACTCAACCTGTAACGTACGCAAATAAAACCCAACGACTTCCACTACTTTCCCAGACGACAGTGAGAGCGCAGCGGCCGAAGACGTGCAGCAGTGCCGCAGAGTCCAACTCACTGGGCAGTTTGTGTGAAGCGCTCCGGCTCCAGTCAGAGAGCTGTATAATTTTTTTTTTTTTTTTGGGGGGGGGGGTGGATTTCGCCTAGGGCGTCAAATTGGCTAGAAACGGCCCTGCATGCAGCCTATGCGCTTGCTGCTTTACATTTAAATGGCTGGTTATCATCCACTTGAGCATTTTGCAGCGCACTTTCAGAGTTCCCCTGAAACCCACCAACTTCACCAGCTCCACCTGTATAGATCTGCTACGGGTTATTATATATGCTATTTGTGCAGCAGCATGTCTTAAATACATCACCCTATCACCGTATGCATTGGCAGTAGCAAGTTTCCGTACTTGCTTGCAGCAACAGCAATAACCAGCAGCAGCAGCAGCAGAGTAGCAGATTTATTCTGCAAAGACCAAATACATTAACATTGTCATATTCATTACCATGCTAAAATCTTTCGAGAGTTGTCATGATAGAAATATAACTAACTATCTATCTATCTATCTATCTATCTCAGCCCCAGACACCAATTTGCAGTAAAATACTATTTGACTTCAAAGCTAATACACATGGACAAAAAGGCCCAAAACATTTTGATTTGATGGTATGCTTAACTATCTGAGATGATTTTATTAGTGCTGATCTAAGTGGGTATCTTGTTTTTGTATCCGTTTTTTTTTTTTTTTTTGCTGAGATCCATTGCTCACTGTCTGCAGTGATCTTCCATGTTACAGACTCTGGAAAACAACATGACCACCAGAATTACCATGATCCCAAGTCAATCCTAACAAAACTGCTTCCAAAAACTCAAACATCTCTGTAACTTATAATAAGACAGAGGCTGTTCTACCCACTGAGTGTAATTTCACAGATGTCAGAGCTAGGAGATGCCCATATCATTGGCAGTAAGTCAGAGCCTCGCCATGCCCACAACATGGCTTCCGTGAGACCGCATGCATGTGGTGAAAGCCCTGCTTTGGTGTAGCCCATGAATTAAGGACCATTAACCTTCTGGAGTGGTGACTCCTGCACGATGTTATTTTCTGAAACTGGTCATGTGGCTATGTTTCTGTCAGTTTTCCGACACGAAAAATGCTGCAGGTTCCAAGTTTCTAATCTCTAGATAAAGTCCGCCTCTGTCAGCACCACCATCACCAGTCATCAGCTGCATTAAGGATCGGGACTGATCCAGGTTATTTACTGCCAGCCGCTCAGCTTTCCTTGAACAGGATGGAAACAAGCAGTAATGTTCATTAGTTGTAACCAAGGTCATCTGTGAACAGAGATGAGCGTGAAGGCTGATGGAATTATAGTGTCACAGACTAAAGGATTCTCTTTGGTATATCTATAGCAGCATTGTTGTGTTCAGAAAAACATCTTTCCTATAACCTCATAATAGTTTATTTTCATAAATTGTTCTTTTTTTCCTGTCCTGTATTTTTTTCCCCTTATTGTATCTTTCAGTAACAGAAAACTGAGGGAAACTGCTTTCAATTGTACTCCTGTATTCCATGAGTGTAATAAGGTTGATTTAGTCATCCAGATCTTAAGTATTTTTTTGAATTCTCGATTTGTACAAGTTTATTCATTTTGTTAGTAACCACATGAAGCAAGTTTTGGGTTACATGATAAAACATTTTTACAGTGTAGAGTATTTTTTTTTTTTACTATTGTATGTTAAGTGATTTTTTTTTTTTTACTTAAGTCTACTTAGATATCCTGAACTGCATAAATGTAAAAAAAAAAAGTTTAAAGAATCTAAGAAAGAAAAACTACTGTCTAGAGATCCCTATCTAGTGGGAGTCCAGTGGGCCAGATAAAATTAATCTTCAGGCCTTGGTTTGATTATCTCTGTCAAATCTTCCTAGCTTCTTTTCGATTTATTTATCTAGAAGCTGTTTGGCCTTCAGGCCCCGATTTTGCTGTCTATGTAGGACATTAAACGTCTGGAAGCATTTAAAGGATTCAGCAAGATTAATATTGGTGGGACCAATGAAACAAGTATTTGTACAGAGGATACGGCAGCAGACAATGTGAGATATGCCTTACATCTGTTCACCAAAACCGTTATGTTCCTATGTTCAGGCCCTCCGCTACATACTTCCCAGAGGTGTAGATGAACATCAAAAGCTACTCAGTGCCCTGTAATGTGTTTATGATACTGTTATCATTGGTAGCTACCAAATGAATTGGACAATTATAATATGACCTCCAGTTTTTGTTTCTCGGCATGGCAGCAGACGTTTTTGACAGTGATTACCCAACATTTTTACAAATCTGTTTATACATTGTGTCAAGTTGTGTTGAAAATTACTTGAAAACAGTTTGATGTATGTATCTTTTCCACCAAAAATCCTTCAAACACTGACCTTTTGTTTATTGCACAATACTACATTTGATTTATATGTTGGAAATAACATTTCTGATGCCTGTATGTTTAGTTTGTGCTGCCGAGTTGGATAGTTTAGATACGGCCCTTTGGGATTCCATATGCTGTATGCCTGCTAAAAGTTATGTTTATATAGTGGTAGCTGGGTTCTTTATTATACTATTGTATTGATAGAGAAGAAACATATTTCCTCTGATATTAAAGGGATAGTTCACCCAAAACTGAAAATTGCCCCATGATTTACTCACCCTCAAGCCATCCTACTGTAGGTGTATATGACTTTCTTCTTTCAGATAAATAGAATCGGAGTTATATTAAAAAATGTCCTGGCTCTTCCCAGCTTTATAATGGCAGTGAATGGGTGTTGAGATTTTGAAGTCCAATAAAGTGCATCCATCCATCATAAAAAATGTCTTTGGGGGGTTAATAAAGGCCTTCTGAAGTGAATCAATGCTTTTGTTTAAGAAAAATATCCATAAAACTTTATAAGCCATAATCTCTAGCTGACATCTTACGTCATCAGCTGGATGCCACTTTCTCATGAACGCGTGTACAACAGCTAGCGGTAGCTAGAGATTAAGATTTATAAAATATTAAATATGGACATTTTTCTTACACAAATGCATCGATTCACTTCAAATGGCCTTTATCAACCCACCAACCCCCTGCCCCCCAGAGCCATGTGGAGTACTTTTCATGATGAATGGATGCACTTTATTGGACTTCAAATGTCTCCTCAGACATTTGAGGTTCATGTTGTCATATTATATAAACAGTATAGCATTAATGCTTCCCCTCATTGATCTTTTGGCCATGCAATTGATCAGGAACAGGCTACTTATGAACCTGTTCTGAGAAAGAGAGGCACATTGAGAGTAGAGGACCTTGATGCTGGTTTTGATTTTATCCACCCCTCCACATCTATAGCACTTGCAGGCTTTTCTTGTTGGGATGAAGAATATACCCAAGCATTAATTAATGTTGGTTTAAAAAAATCTAACAATTAATATTGTTTTAAGTTGATGGCCACTGCTTTTGAGTTGCCAAAAAGTACCACCATCTTCAAAAAGTTTGGTCTATGCAGGGTCTACACCCTGCTCCTCACCCAGAAGGGGAAAGAGTAGAAGAGCATCTTCATAATGCCTACAGGGCAGGTAATGCGGCTCGATTTGGTCAGTCTCCCAGTCTTTCAGGACACTACAGGCTTCCAGAATTTCATAAATTATGTATTTTATGTATTATGCTTGACAGGGTACCTTAACGACATGCTTTATCTCTTCAAAATACTTTGTGCACAAAGCTATTAGAGGAAGGTAACTTTGTCCAAGTTTGAAACAATGTGCTATACATTTCCACAATGTCTTTTTTAAGTTTTCTTGTATCTTGATTGCATGGAAATAAATCTGAGCAAGACCCAAACTGTCATCAGTAAAGAGGACTCAGCTCTTCCAAGAGTTTTCAAACCCTTATTTGTTTTTAAAGAACTTCAATGCTCCAATCACTCTGTTGGTCATAATAACCCATCAGCAGTTCAGAAAGAATTCCCTTTTGAAAAAAAAACAACATATGCTAGTTAGGTATGTTTTGAAGCATGGTTGCTAGTTTAAGCTGGTCCTTAGTTGGTCCTTATCTGGGCTGCGTTTCCCAAAAGCATCGTAAGCCCAAGTTGATCGTAGCTCCACTGGTGACAATGGTTCTACAATCAACTTAAGCTTACGATGCTTTTGGGAAACGCAGCCCTGGTCATAAACTGGTTTAAGCTGGTCATGTGCTGGTCCTAAGCAACTAGCTCCTGCTCAGGACCAGCTCATGACCAACTAAGGACCAGCTTAAACCAGCTGATATGCGTCAACACACCTAAACAGCATATGCTGTTGTTGTTGTTTTTTTCAACAACGTTGAGAACAAAGATAAGGAATACTCCACCTCTACTTTATTGCTTCTGTGAAGCAAAAGTTCTTGTAAGTTAGACTCTCCAAGTAAGGTTTTTGCGAGTCATTGTGTCCATCCTGTCCTGCACTTAATCATGGTCTGCAATAATCAGTTCTGCTTGATATCCCAAAGCAGTGTTTCCCAACCTTACACGTTTTGGATGTCTCCCTAATCAAACACACACACACCTGATATAACTTATCGTCTTGTTTGCAGAAACTCCAAAACTTCAAAAGGGTGTGTCAGATAAGCAAGATATCCAAAATGTGTACAGTTGGGGGGCTTCCAGGAACAGGATTGGGAACCACCGTCCAAGCACTGTAATGTGCTACTTAAACTTCCATCACATTCCATCACACGGATAGTCTTTAAGAAATCTCTTGCACCCTGGTGAATACTGCTATTCAGTTGCTTGATGAGGGTTTCTTCATGGTTAAACTTTTCTTCTGACAGCCAGATTACTGATTCTCTTTGGTCACTGTTAAGCTCACCAATGCTTGCATTGCAGATTTACCAAACAACAGGTCTTGCCAGGACTATAGTTTTGACTACCTCTTGGATTCAAGTCTACTGATTTCTCAGTTTTGTTAACCCTTCTTTGGTCCTCATGTCTGATTTCAGGTTCCAAGAACCAATTCCAAAGCAAAACTAGACATTGACAGCTATCTAAAACATACACTAATGATCCAGACAAACACACTTGTCTAATAAGAAACAGATGTAAGTACAACTGCCCAAATATTATTGGCATCTTTACTTGGTAGGATCTCTGAGCAAATTATGCTGTAATTTCTAAACACATTACTCAATGTAAGGGAAAAAAAGAATCAAATCAAGCTTGACTTATTATGACATACCTATGTAAATTTAAATCAATAAAAAATGATAAAAAAGAGTCCAAGTATTCTTCTAAAACTAACTACATGTGATGTCAAGTTAATTGATTTAGTTTTCTCCTTTCCCACAGCAGGTTTGAGGAAAAGTTTCCGGTTGAGCCGGAAGGACAGCACAGGTCAACATGTGAGACAGAAAATGGGCAAAGGACATGCCGGTATCCATTTACCAATATATCAGGAGGTCCTGCCTTATAAGAGAAAGCCTGATGAGCTTTACCGCCTTGTGCTTCTAACTGGTGAGAATGATTCTTGCTTTAAAAAAATAACTCATCTAAAAACTTCTTGTTTGCATCTAAGAATTCTGTCATTGTTAGTACTGTCAAACGATTAATTGTGATTAATCACATCCAAAATAAACGTTTTTGTTTACATAATGTATGTATGTGTACTGTGTTTATTTATTATGTATATATAAATACACACACTTACAGTATATATTTTGAAAAAATTACATGTATATACATTTATATATTTATATTATTATATATAAATATATTTAATATATAAACAACATTTTTCTTAAATATATACATGTATGTGTTTGTATTTATATATACATAAT